AAGGGCGGGAGGGCTCATTGGGGGCTTCGTGGATGCTGCAACTTGGCTTCAACAGCTGTCTCCACTCTCAGCCACGAAACAATAGCCACAATAAGTGCAGCCTCTCAGCGACTTGTTCTCCACTTTGGAAAGGACACAAGAGAAGATGGAGGAGAAATTCCTGGAATGGTGGAAGGGCGCTCTCTCTGTGAGGAGGGCTGAGCATGGGAGGTAGTGCTGTGCCCCCCACACCAATATGGGGGCGCCTCCCTGGCAAATGAGGTGACAGAGTGCTGCCCCCACAGAGTGGCAAGTCTAGACAAAACTCCATCCTCTTCGTGGCGCCATGCCTTTCTAGGGCCCCTCTGACAGTGAGTGGAATATGCACATGGGAAGACAACTGGGGGGATGAGGGAAGTTCAGGGCACCTTGGGATCCTGGGACCCTCCAGACCCCCACCTGCAGTTGGCACACCTGCTGCCTGCTGCTCCTGGGGAGGGTGCTGGCCCCCGCTGAGCCCAGGGTGATTAAGACCCTGCACCTTTCCCTCTTCACCCTCTCCCCTCAGCCCCACATCAGGATACTGCCTGGAGACATGCTTTAGTGTAAGCTGGGGGTCAGAAATAGGAGATCACATTTGTCCTCTGCTTTTGCACTTAGCTGAGATCTTCTGACCCTCTTTAATCTGCAAAAGGTAACACTGTATCTTTAAATTCTACAGACCAATGACAAATTTCCTGCTGCCCTGGATTGGGGCCCCTCCTTTTGTGTTTCTGCTCCCAGGGCTGCTGGGTGACTTAACCCACAGAAGTGAATTCTCTACAGTTCTCGAGGCTGAATGTCCAAAATCAGGGTCTCAGCAGGGTTGGTCCCTTCTGGGGGAGGTCCAAGAGAGAATCCGTCCCATGCCGTCTCCCAGCCTCTGGCACTTGCTGGCAATCCCTCGGCTTGTCGACGCATCACTCCTGTCCTGCCTCCATCTTCCTGTGGCATCCTCCCCTCTGTGTCTCTGTATGTCTCAGTTTCCCTCTTGCTCTCATAAGGACACAGGTCATTAGATCTAGGGCCCACTCTAAAGCCAGATGATATCATTTAAAGAGCCCTAATTATATATTAATTTAAAATGGTTAAAAATCAGCCAGGTGCAGTGGCTCATGCCTGTAATCCCAGCACTTTGGGAGGCCAAGGTGGGAGGACCACTTGGCCAGGAGTTTGAGACCAGCCTGGGCAACATAGCAAGGCCCCATGTCTACAAAAATTTTTTAAAAGTTAGCCAGACTTGGTGGTGGACACATGTAATCCCAGCTCCTCAGAAGACTGAAGCAAGAGGATCACTTGAGTCCAGGAGTTTGAGGTTGCAGTAAGCCATGACTGCACTACTGCACTCCAGCTGGGCAACACAGCAAGACCCTGTCTCTAAAAAAAATGATGGTGATAATGATAATAATTAATATTTATTGACATGCCTCCTGCATGTCAAGCATTATAAGACATGGGCATTGTCTCATTTACAAAATCCCCATTTTACAGATGAGGAAACTGAGGCTCCTGGGAAAGAAGTTCCCCAGCTAGTAACTCCTAGTACTTGGGCCTGAAACTGTGTTTATTGGACTCTAAATCCACCCTTTAAATTCTGTGCATAGGAACACAAAAGGAGGAGCCCTTGTCCAGGGCAGACAGGAAATTTGTCATTGTCTGTAGGATTTAGAGTGTTACCTTTTGTATATTAAAGAGAGTCAGAATGTCTCAGCTAAGCACATAAGTGGAGGACAAAGGCTGTCCTGTTATCTTCTCTCCTTTCTGGCCCCCAGCATCATTCTGTTCTTTCTGTTGCTCTGCTGCACTTTTATGTGAGTGAGCAGGTTTGTTTACCTTTTCTCTTTCTGATTTTTTAAAAGAGGTTCTCACTCTGTTGCCCAGGTTGGAGTGCAGTGGCACAATTATAGCTCACTGCATTCTCGACCTCCTGGACTCAAGCAGTCCTCCTGCCTCAGTCTCCCTAGTAGCTGGGACTACAGGCACACACCACCATGCCCAGCTAATTAAAAAAAAATTTTTTTAGAGACAGGGTCTCTATGTTGCTCAGGCGTGTCTTGAACTCCTGGCCTCAAGCAGTCCTCCTGCCTGGACCTCCCAAAGTGCTGGCATTACAGGCTTGTGCCACCACACCTGGCCTCTCTTTGATTTTCTTTACAGACCTTTTTGACATGATTTGCTCTTTTAAGGGTCATTTGAGGCAAAGCCTTGTCCAGGTTTCTGCAGGTCCTTCCAAACACTGAAATGTGCCCCTGAGCTCATGAACAGCAGCTGTTTCTGGGATGAGGACTACTCTCAGTAAATAAGAATGATGACCGACAGCCACACACTCAGAGCTGACCAGGACTTCCATCCATCACTTAAATGTGCTTCTTCTCGTGGCTATTTCTTGCTGTGGCATTCATCATCGTGTTGCAGAAGGCCACCATTGACATCATTGTAATTGAATCTTATAAAACAGAGGGAACTGTCACTAACAGGCAGACATGGCTTTCATCAGAAACTCTCCACCCCCAGATCCAGCACTGCCAGATGAGCAGTGTCTCCGTTCCTTCTGTGCTGCCACAGCACAGATCCAGAGCTTTCGTGACAAGTGATGAGCAGAAGAAAAAAGAGTAACATCTTGCCGGGTGTGCTGGCTCATGCTTATAATGCCAGCACTTTGGGAGGCCGAGGCAGGTGGATCACTTGAGGTCGGAAGTTTGAGACCAGCCTGACCAACAAAGCGAAACCCTGTCTCTACTAAAAATATAAAAATTAGCTGGGCATGGTGGTGAGCACCTGTAATCCCAGCTACTGGGGAGGCTGAGGCAGGAGAATCACTTGAACCCAGGAGGCAGAGGTTACAGTGAGCCAAGATGGCACCACTGCTCTCCAGCCAGGACAACAGAACAGACTCCATCTCAAAAAAAAAAATAATAACCTCTCAAAACGTGCGAGCACTGAGGACTGCAGGTCACTGGAACCAATGCTTTATGAATGTGGCTTTACGATCTTCCTCTCTGACAGTATCTTAAGGGCAGCTGCACATGCTGCTGAGAACACGATGAGTCCCTGTCAATAAGAAGGTCCCAGGAGAGCACACTTAAGGCTCTGTGGGATCCAAGAAAAGCAGAGTTACCCCTTTGTTGTGGGAAAGGTGGAACCTCATGGAGAAGGCAGTGTTTGGGTCCAGTGTTGAAGGCCGAACTGATAGAAGTCGACGCTCTTGGTGAAAGTCACAATGTGTTAAACCAGGGAGGCCAGGAAGTAGGTAGCCTGCCCAGAAAACATCCTGCAGACTAGTTGAGCTGTGTGCAGGTGGGTGGTTAGAAGGAAGGAGAGGAGAGCCAGTTGGCATAGCCGCACCTAACTCAGTTCCGTCCCGTAGCGCCAGTCCCTCCGCAGCAGCTGTACTGCAGAAAGATTTTTTTTTTTTTTTTGAGATGGAGTTTTGCTCTTTTTACCCAGACTGGAGTGCAATGGCAAGGTCTCGGCTCACTGCAGCCTTTGCCTCCCAGGTTCAAGTGATTCTTCTGCCTCAGCCTCCAAGTAGCTGAGATTACAGGCATGCACCACCACACCCAAATAATTTTGTATTTTTGGTAGAGACAGGGTTTCACTGCGTTGGCCAGGCCAGTCTCGAACTCCTGACTTCACGTGATCCACCCACAGCAGCCTCCCAAAGTGCTGGGATTACAGCATGAGCCACCTCGCCGGGCCAAGAATTTTATTACTTCTGAGTGGTTGCCCCTAGTGGATCTCTGCCTCAGGGACAGCTGTTTTCTCCTAAGCTACATCTGGAACAGCTTTCAGATCCAGGGCCTTTCAACTTCTGGAAAAGACAGAAGTCGAATTAAATTAAAATTGAATTAAAATTGTCCTGGTATGCTCCAGAAAGCCATGAACCAGGCTACACCCTCCAGGAGAGTAGGATCCGTGGATGGATCTGTCTCCACCTTCCAGCCATGCCCCTGTTCTTGGTGTCTGCTTTGCTGAAGAGCTTCTCGAGGGGATTGGGGTAGGAAGGAGAGGGGAAGACTTCACACCCTGAGCCTCCAATAGGAATCTCCTCCCCAGCCCTCAGCACATGACATTCAGTGACCTGGACACTTCACTTTAGACCTCATCCAAACCCCTCCTCCACCCTCGGGTCCATTAGGAAGGTTCTGGAGCCTGTTTTGTACATCGGCATCTCTTGGTCCAGTTTGCCAGAGAAGGAGCTCAGTGTTTGTGGAGCTGCTGAAGCAAGTTCAAGTCAGAGAATTCCCACCATGTATGAACCAGAGACCTGGGAATAGCCAGAGACCTTTGTGTACACTGGTCAATTCAATGCCATACAACTCCCAAGAACTGGAAGGACCTGGTCATTTATCCCAGGAAGGCTCTACGTCCCAGCTGTTTACCAGTGAAAACCGTGCTGCTCTGTCCGTGGAATATAACCATTGGCAACCTGATGGTCTGTAACGACCCAAATTAAAGGAGCTGGTTTTGAAGTTTCTAAATTCTTTCAGTTTCTTTGTAAAGACGGGGTCTCACTGTGTTGCCCAGGCTGGTCTTAAACTCCTGGCCTCAATATAGCCAACTTTATTAGACTGAATGGAAGAGCATTCGGCTTATAGGTTTTGGCTTTTCCGCTTGGTTTTTCAATCCTTGGACCCCCTCTCTTCTTACTACCAGTCAGCCTCCAACCTGTTCCTCTACCAGCCCCCTCCCAATTCCTTTCAAAAGATTAGTATAAGTAATACCTTCTCATTTGGAAAACACAAAGAAAGCGGCATCTGTAAACCAGCCTCCCATGGGGAACCACAGTTAGCATCTTGTATTTTATGTTAACCTTTTAAAAAATGTGTTTTATGATGAAAATTCAAATGAATGCAACTCTGATGAGGCTTGGGCTGGATGGGGCAGAGGCAGGGGGCTTCTTGCTTTCAGTCAGATGAAGGAGGGGTACAGTTTCCACCATTTCGAGGGGGCCCTTCATTTTGCTTTCTTGATTGTTTCAGGGAGTGGCTGAGGCTGAACTGGAACAGAACCTGAGTCGGACTTTCAAACTCTTCTTCAGAGCGAGCAATGAGGTGAGGGGTGGGGAATGGGGGCGTAAGAGCAGGGGGGCAGCTGTAAACAAAGTGGGGTACCCGGTGTGTGGCAGGGACCAGGAGTAGCAATCTGGCCATCTTTTCTTTCACTTCTGTAGTCAGAGTGATTGAGGTCCCCTTACTGGTCTGTCCTTAATGGGAAAATTTATATCTCACTAACACACAAGGTCAGAGAATGATTATAATAATGATGGCTTTGAAATCATGCCACTACCTTACCATTTTAACATGTATAATTAGCTTACCCAAGTCCAAAACTAATGGATGTCCCCATCCCTCTTCTTGAAGAAGCAGAGGAGTTTAGGACCTTTACCTCTGTAACCTGCACACCCTCCTGTCTTCTGTGTTAGGAGTCATCATCGCTGTTGTTGTTTTATGTACAGTGAGTGCCTGATCAGACTGTTCCATATTTTCCACTTTCTTTACTGATCACTTCTTGCATGTCACTCATTTGCATTGAGTTCAGTTTCTTTCTTCCTGAAGCACCTCCTTTAGTAGTTCTCTCAATAAGAGCCTTTTGGTGGTAAATTCATATTTGGTGCCTGAAGACATCTTAATTTTACTGTTAATCTTGAAGAATCATGTATCTGAGTGTCGAATTCTAGGTTATTTGATTTTAGAAACTTCTGTCGTTGCTTGTGAGTCAGCCTAAGGTCTGACTTTCTGTATCTTAATTGTCTTTAGGCGATTAAGAAAAATTAATTGTCCTGGGCACTGCAGTGTCTGATCTGCAGTTGACCCCATCTTTGAACTTTTAATTTCAATAAATAGTTTTTTAATTTGTGACAGTTTTATGTGGTTCTTTTTCAAATCATTCTGATCTGCTTTGATAGAGTCTTATTGTATTCTTAATTTTCAGTTCCTTTTGTGTCTTCAATCGTTTTAAGCATATTCATTTCTAATTCTCTTTTTTTTTCCTCTCCCTCTCCCTCTTCCAAGCTCTATTATTTGATATTTTTGGAGAGTCTTATTTTGCTCTTTGCTGCCTCTTGCTGTGGGGCTTTGTTGTGTGAGTGTGGGTTTTGTAATTTTGGTTTATAAGCCCATCTTCAGCAGCACGTAATCTGTACCAGTCTGCTTCATTGGGCTGGAGGAGATGACCCCACGGGTGGTTAAGGATGTCTTCTGCCAGGCACCTGGTGGCATCACCAGCCGAGGCTCACTTTGTTGTGATTGTTGTTGTTGTTCTTGTTTACTTCACACTTTGGGGGTTTCCAGATCATGCAGAGAATGCAAACAAATCCAAGCACTTGGGAAGGCGGGAGTATAGCTGTGAATTCCCAAGGGGGTGTCTTCTGGTCTCCTCTTAGTACCAGGCTGAAACAGGGGAACTCCGTTAACATCTTTATCATGATGAGGGCATTTTTTTCTAATCATTTTGTTCGTTGAGGGCATAGCACTCCCAGACCCCAGATTTACTGGATTTACCATGGAGGGGCATAGAATATCACATCTCCAACATCCCATCATAGGCCTAGGGTCTCTTTTCTTGTTCCCAGTGGGGGTAAACCCAGGTCTTCACATTACCAAGGTCTGCAAGGGCCCTGGGGCAGCCTCGGCCCAGAGCTTTGGTTGTGAGCTCCCTCTTTACTTGATTCCTGGGAGGGGTCCCTGGCTCTCTTGGGAGTTCCACATGTTTGTTACAGTCTGTATGGTACTCTGACGTCTTCCGTCACGACAGGGTTTTCAGATGAGCCTATTTCCTTTGCTTCACCCATGACGTCATTTCCAACTCTTTTCTTCCCACAGACTGTTTTATCAGTGCATAATGTCCGTGAAATGGGTAAGAAACATGCTTGGGAGAGAAGGGAGCTGGGAGGGCCACATCCGGAACCAGCTAATGTGAAATAGATGTTTCTGTGTCTGACTCCTGTGGGCAAAAGCCCTGAGCCCTCTAGCCCTGAACTTGAAGTTGCCCAACCAAGGTCCCCTCGGCATGCATGGGGCTGATGTCCCAGGCCTGACCACACAGCCTGGAGTTCCCGTCCTGTAGGGAGCTGTGGCTTCAAGATCTCAAACAGTTAAGAGCTTGGAGGAGTCTTAGAGCTTGTCCAGGGCAAAATCCACCCTCTACTGAAAAGGACCCCAGGATTGAGAGCTTACCTCTGCGGGAGGCACGCAGTGTATGCAGGTGGGGTATGGCAGGGCCCCTCCCAGGTCTCCTCCATTGCAGTCCACGGCCCCTCTGCATCCAGGTGCCATGTCTCCAGTGCCCCCAAGTGGAGCTCAGCCTTGTCTCCCGCCTGGGTTGGGTATGAGTGGCGGGTCAGAGTTGAGGTTAGATGAGAGCTAAGCCACAGAGCTCATAGACCCAGCACTCTTCCCACACCACCGTGTTTTTGCCGCAGCACCGTGGCCTTGACATCATTCACCTGTATTTTTATGAGTGACGATGGCCACTGTCACTTGTTTGGGCACGTGCTGACCATGTGTGTAAAACTCTGGACTGACCCCCTTTACATAAATTATTTACGAGCCTTGGAGCATTCCAAAAAATGCTACTATTTTTAACTTCCAAAGAGAAAAACGTGTCTCAGAGAGTTAAGTAACTTGTCCAGAGCGGCTGAGCCGGGGTTAAACTCCTCTCACCCTGAAGGCCATGCTCTTGTCACTGCCCCAAGAACATCTCCCTCCCTCCCCGGCACCCAAATTCCCTTATTCCTTCTGTCACTGGTTCATTCACGCGTTCGTTCATTCATTCCTCACATGCTCTGAGCACATGCTGGGTATGAGGCTGGGGAATGCTCAGATACGCAGACGCACCAAGCAGGGTGGCCGCCCTTGGGGAGCCCATGCCTTATGGGAGGCAGAGCAGCTGGGATGCTTGCATCGGGGCCCTGAGCCACAGTGGGCCTGGAGCATCCGCCTGGCAGGGAGGTTCAGGGTGGCCTCATCACAGGGTGACATCCTGGTCACATACCCCTTTGATGTATCTCACAAAAGCCTAGAATGCCCAGTTCCTTTGCCTCTGGGTCTCGTAAATCTGGAAATGCTGACTGGCCCTGTTCAGGCACCCGCATTGAGACTGTGCCCTGTGAAACTGCAGTGCTCCCTGGGCTGCCAGGGGTCATCACAGGCCATCCTTTGGGGGGACTCTTCAGTGCCCTGAAGACAAGACAGGGGTCCACAGTGGGATACCGCAGAAGGCCTGTGGGGCACATGGTGGGCAACAACATGCAGCCTCCTGGCCTGGGTTCTCTTCCTGCCTATGAGGAAACACGGAGCAAGCCCTTGTGAAAATTCCAAGAATCTCTGGCGATATCTCCAAGGGGCCACAGTTCAGCTGGCTGGGAAAGGTTTACATGAGGGGCTGGCAGGAGCCGGGGATACAGCTGCTGTGTGCCTGAAAAAGCCAGCGACTGTGGTTGGTCCAAGAGCTGTAACAATAGCCGGTGCAGTCGTGGCCTGGGTGGGAGGGATGGTTAGGCTCCAGTGTGACAGGACCTCTCGAGGAGATGGGCTCACTCTGGCAAAGGATAAGGGAACAAAAGATGGAGGTGCTCACAAGGCCTTAGGCAAGTTCAGATGGTCTGTGAGAGGCAGTGATGTGGGTGGCCTTCATTAGAGGCTTTAGAATGCAGAAGCCAGGCCGTGGGTGGGGAAGTCAGCAGTGGTTTTTTTTGCAGGAGGACTTTTTGTAAGGAGCCCGGAAGAGCCCAGCCTCAGCAGGATGGTCACCGAGGAGGAAATCCAGTTCTATGTGCAGCAGTTCAAGAAGTCTGGGTTCAGGTAAAGAGAGCACAGGGCTGCAGACACAGATGAGTGATGACTGGCGGGGAGGAATCTTCAGCCCCCAGGTGGAGCGTGAGGCCCAGTTCTCCTCCGCCACAGGCCTCATGGGGGCCCGGCCAGCCTCTTCTTGAATGCATCCAGGGTCGGGAGGCTCACTACTCTGTGTACTCATGCTGCTCTAATTTGGGACAGCTCAGCTTATTCTTCCTTATGCTTGTGGGTCCCCCATAGGGCAGAGGTCTTTACTATTCGGTCATGAATCCTCAGAGACTCAGATGGCAACTCTGGGCTCTTTCTTCAGTTAAACATAAAATCCACATAAACTCAAAAAGTGCATACATTTTGGTGCATTTGCCCTACTTCTCAATGTCGTATTAGGAGGGGGCATCTTGGCACCACCTCCCAATGTCCCCCCCAGGCGGGCTGCCTGGGCAGGCGAGTGGCCTCTGGGTGGTGAGGCTGCTAGACCATGTTCCCCTGCCATCAGCAGCCTCCCCAGCCTCCAAGGTGATATGGTGACATTCTCTGGAGAGTCCTGTAGGACCAGCTTCTGTGTGTCCCAAAAGCCCACCCAAAGGCCACCAGCTCACTCAGTGGAGTCCTGTGTCCTCATAGCAGGCCTTGCTGGTAGAGCTTGGCAACCGTGCCTGACAGCAAGGTGAGGGTCCTGGGCTCTGTTCTCTGGCCCCTGCAGAAGGCTTCGTTCTTCCCAGGTGACTGGCTATGCAGAGTGGGTTTCTGTTGGTGTCTGTAGCAGAGCCGTCTACTCACCACCTCCGTCTTTTTACTTTCTGATCTCTTCCCAGAGGTCCTCTAAACTGGTACCGAAACATGGAAAGGAACTGGAAGTGGGCCTGCAAAAGTTTGGGACGGAAGGTGAGGACCAGGTTCAGCGCGGTCCCCTCTGCCCCCCCAGGAGCCACCTGCAGGGCTTCCCATTGGCCTGAGCTGATACGACCTGGGCCAGAGCTGGCCATGTCCTTTCCCTTTCGGGTTTGGGAAGTGACTCCATTCAGGGGTTTCCCCTTAGGATCTTTCTTGCTGGTGCTTCCCTTGGATGGTAGAGGGTGATGCTGGGGATGGAGCTGGGGTGTGTCCAGGTCAGTGAAGCATCCACCCAGAATCCCCAGGTCCCCTGGTGGTACCCCAAGCCAGGCTGCAGATGACACCTCCCAAAGGCGATGTGGATACTGGAGCCCCCAGCCCCGGAGAGCGTTAGGTGCTCTCAGAGATGTGGCTTTAGCCTCTGGTGGTATCATCTTGCACAAGTCAACCTCTGAGTCTCAGTTTCCCCATTTGCCAAGCAGAAGATGAGTTTCCAATCTCCGGGTCTGCAGAGGGAGTAATGGAGGTCCGCAGTTTACATTCAAAATGTTTAAAAATCTAAGGGAAATCAAATTACTTCCCAGTGTGATTGCACAAGTAGTCAGGCCGTCATCAGCTAACTTAGTAGCCCTGGTTACCTTGCTGGTTCACTCTGTGAGTGAAAACATTGCTGCATGCCAGGCTTCCTCTCAGCCCCTGAGATACCACCGTGTGTAAACAGACCAGGTCTTGACCTCCCAAGTTAGGTCTCGAGGCACCAGAGTGTATAACATCGTGGTTAAGAGCAGGCTAGGAGCCACATGGCTGAGTCTAATCCCTGTGTGACTCTCGGGACGGCACTTACCCCTCTGACCCACTATTGCTTCTTCTGCAATATGAAGTGGCAAGAATGGTGCCTCCCGCAGAGAGCTGTGTAAGGATGAAATAGGCAGAGGCACGTGACCTGTTACAGGCAGGACTGGGCACCTAGCGGCTCTGTCAGAGTTCCTTGTCATTATCACATGACTGAGGAAAATGACCAAACTGCAGTTGGACACACAAAATCTCTCCAAGTTTGGAGGAAAATACTGACAAAGGCACTGGGAGGGCAAACCCCAAGGTGCTAAGGTCAGAAGCCCTCCTCTTCTGCGGTTTTTCTTGTCTTTTTTTTTTTCCTTTGGAGACAATCTTGCTTAGTTGCCCAGGCTGGAATGCAGTGGCACGATTTTGGCTCACTGCAACCTCCAGTTCCTGGATTCAAGCAATTCTCCTGCCTTAGTCTCCCGAGTAGCTGGGATTACAGGTGCCCACCACTGTGCCCAGCTAATTTTTTTTTGAGACGGAGTCTTGCTCCGTTGCCCAGGCTGAAGTGTAGTGGCACCATCTCAGCTCACTGCAGCTTCTGCCTCCTGGGGTCAAGCGATTCTCCTGCCTCAGCCTCCCAAGCAGCTGGAATTACAGGTGTGTGCCCCCATGCCTGGCTAATTTTTTTGTATTTTAGTAGAGACGGGGTTTCACCATGTTGTGCAGGGTGGTCTCAAACTCCTGACCTGAAGCATTCCACCCACCTTGGCCTCCCCAAATGCTGGGATGACAGGTGTAAGCCACTGCGCCCGGCCTCTCTTCTGCAGTTTCCAGCTGGATCTTCCTCTCTCCTCTCCCACCTCCTCCCATCCCGCCCCCCCCCTCCAAGTTCACATTTTAGCTTGGAGCATTCTAGAGTTTACAAACCTCGTAGAAGCCTCAGGATTCGGTTTAACCACAAAATCATTTTTGACCTTCTCCTGGCTCCTGGTTGTGGGAGGAGGTAGGGGTGTGTAGAGAAGCCCATCATTCTGTGCATAAATGAAAATAGTGCAAGTTCCTCAGCAGGGACGGGTAAAAGCTGCTTAGAGATTAGGGTGATGGTAGAGTGAGAACAAAGAAAGAAACAGAGGCTTTCCTGGCCTTCCTGTGTGTGCCTCCCTGTGCAAACCTCATTTGCCAGCAGTTAAAAGGGAAGTCATTTTGCTGCTGCCGTTTGTGTCACATTGATAACTATTGTGGCTGCCCCATTCTCTCGGGAACCTTGGCCGCCCCTTTTAAGCATCTGCTTAATTCAGAGAAGAGGAATCTCTATCTTCATTCGTTCAAGGGTGTCTTCCACCCTCTTGGTGAGGTCGATTCGGTTCTCCTAGTTACACACAGGTCAGCACACATTCTCACTCACACACATGTGCACACACAAGACCCATGCTGGCCCCTGCACTACTGAAGCTGTCATTTTAAAGATCTCCAGTAATCACCACGAGTCCGTTGTGCGAGTTTGGCAGATACCACATCAGGATCACAGCAGGGCAGTGGGCAGGGGTCTTTTCAGGGGAGTCACAGCGGAGGAAGAGGGAGGGCCTCCCTTGTGGCATGCCGGCCACTCCCATTTCCTGTTCTCTCCCCAGATCCTGATTCCAGCCCTGATGGTCACAGCGGAGAAAGACTTCGTGCTCACTCCTCAGATGTCCAAGCACATGGAGGACTGGGTGAGGGAACAGCCCTGCACGGGGGTCATCAGTGCTCCCAGGGAGAGGCACAGGTGCTCAGAGGGAAGCTGGCAGTGGAGGCTACTCCTTGTCATGCAGATGGGACCATGGTTGAACTGACATCACCATCCCCTTTCTTTCCCCTGCACAGTCGGTGGTGGATCTCATGGATCTAGTTCAATCATTATTTCCTTAAGACATGCAGTGTTCAGGGAGGGTGGCCCGCGGGAAACAGAGAAGGTGCTGAGACACACTCATCTGCTTTGTCCCACTGACCTTCCTGCGTGGGGATTCCTTTCAGATCCCCCACCTGAAAAGAGGACACATTGAGGACTGTGGGCACTGGACACAGATGGACAAGTAAGGAGGTTGGGGCCCCTGGGTGGGAGAGCAGCAGGTCCCCGGTTCACCTTCTGTAAAAGCTTTCCTGATTTCACTGTGCTGGCTTTGGCCTGGCTTAGCCGCTCACGTGAGTGCACCTCTGCCTTTACGTCCGGTGGGCGGCCCAGACAAGTGGGAATGGCTTTTGTTTTTCTTTCATTTCCTCTTTTCCTCCAGGCCCACTGAGGTGAATCAGATCCTCATTGAGTGGCTGGAGTCTGATGCCCGGAACCCACTGGTGGCCTCGAAGATATAGCACCCAGCATGTGCCCACACCCAGCAGGTGCGCTGAACTTCTGCCTGCTGGGGCACCCTTCTTAGTATACAGAGGTGGCCTTACACGCGTCTCGCACAGACGGCAGCATTGTTCTGAAGGGGTTTGCAAAAAAAAAAAAATTATCTTTAAAGTGAATTAAATTTGACGTAATTTTAGATTCTAGAGAAATCAGGTGTGATGAATTCTCCAGGCATGAATGCATCGTCCCTCTGTCTCTAAGAACCCTTAGCATCCTGTGGGGGACAGAGTGGGGTGGCCAGGTGGTGATTTCTCTTTGACCAATCCATAGTTTTGCAGGAAAATCAGCCGTTCATTTGGAAGAACCTTGGTAGAGACTGGGATGCCTTACTCAATAAAGTAAAGATGGCCGTGCTGCCGGCTGGCTTTGTTCTTGGAGAGGTGGCGTGACGGTTCAGCGAGAATGCATGGCATTGGGGTGAACCCTTTCCCTCTGCTTTTGAACCCTGCTCTGGGCTCTGAGGTGCTGTGTGATCTGGGCCATGCTGGCCAGGGGACAATCCTACAGGGATGACAGTGGTTTCTTGTGCTCTTTCCCCTAGAGCAGCCACTGGCCACAGGTAGCTACCTGCCTGTCTCCCAGCTTCCCTAGCAGAGTTTGCTCAGGCACAAATGCGGACCTTGAGCATTTGAAATGTGTTAGTGATGCTGAGGAAGTGAATTTTCAATTTCATTGACTTTTAATCAATTCAAAGTTAAATAGCAACTGCCATGAGGCTCAGGCAGATCCAACCGGTCCTCCCCTCTGTCCCCTCCCCCTCCTTCCCCTCTTCCCACTCCTCTCTATCTTCCCCTCTCCCACCCTTCCCCTCTGCCCTGTCCTCCCTCCCATCACATGCAGTTAGGCAGCCATCTCACTGATTTGTCTCCTGCAGTGAACTTTCCCCTGCCCTGCTTCCAGCCCCAGAGTTCCGGAGTAGCAGCCTCCTCACGGGTCTTGCTGCCCACATGGTTGGATCCTGAACCTTGCAGGGCCTCCCCTCTGCCCCTGCCCACCCCCAGCCCGGCCCCATCACCCTCCAATTCCTCACTGCCCTCCAGCAGCACAGTCTCGGGTGCTACCCCTTGACCCTCTGCCCAGCTTACCCATCCTTTGCCTGGAATGTTCCTCCTGCCAGCTCCTCCAAGCCCATAGGCTGGTTCCCGAGCCCTTTCTCCCTGCCCCGCTGCACGGTTGTCAGCCTCACAGACGCATGCACAGCGGCCTTGCTGCACGTGCAAGGGGAAGCTCACAGAGGACATGTCCCTCCACGCTGAGTTCGGCATGATGACAGGCAGGCGTTGGCCAGGCCACAAGGCCCTGAGTGCCCATGTGTGGGGAGAAAGCCAGGGGAGGTTTGAATGGGAGCTGCTGGCATTTCTTCACCGCCCCAGCACCTGGAGTCTTCCTTGCACCACCACTGATCGCTCCAGAGGGTCCTTCCCATTTCACAGAGAGGGAAACTGACTGCTTGGCTAGGTGATGTCAGAGCCTGGATTCAGAAGCAGGCTCTCTGGTTCCTAAGGCTGAGCTTTTCTACAAAAAATGTAGAAAAAGGCCACCTAGGTTAGGCCTCCGGCCTGCTGCTTATTCGTCGTGTGACCCTGAGAAAGGGTATCTATGCTCCAGTTCCCTCATCTATAACAAAGGGGGCATTAATAGGATCTAACTCATGGGTGTTTGTGAGTATGAAGTATGTTAACATACAGCCAAGCGCTGTCCTAGAACTGCGTATATTAACATACTGCTACGGAATATCAGTTCTGAGACTTCCAGTTTGTCTTAGGAAAGACCTATAAGGTTTTTCCATTTCCAGCCATGACACCGCCACCCCAGCCCTCTCACATCTGAGAATGAAAGGGCTCGTTTAAAGGCACTCGTGGGACCTGGAGGAATGGCTTACACAAGATCACATTATTTGCCTAACTGGGTGTATTCAAGCTCATGTGTAAGGGAGCAGTTAGGGGAAAGAAAATAATCAAAACCTGAGGGCCTCCTTTACTAGAAGGAGTACAAACAGCACAGCTGCCTTCCTGAAAGCCTCGCTTTTGATCTTCTACCCAGCCGTTTCCATCAGCCATCAAAAAGGCCTCAGAAATTCTACTCCTTTGGCAAATAAGAGTTGAATAACTTAAGTTCGTAGCATGGCAACACAAATAAGACCAGTTTTACAAGATCGAGGGCTGTATCAGTCTGTTCTCCCACTGCCATAAAGAACTACTGGAGACTGGGTATTTATAAAGCAAAGAGGTCTAATTGGCTCACAGTTCTGCAGGCTTTACAGAAAGCATAGCTGGGGAGGCTCCAGGAAACTTACAATCATGGCAGAAGGCTAAGGGAAAGCAGGCACATCCTACATGTCTAGAGCAGGACGAAGAGAGAGAAAAGGAGGAGGTGCTACACACTTGTTTTTTCTTTTTTGAGACCCAGTTTTGCTCTTGTTGCCCAGGCTGGAGTGCAATGGCGCAATCCTGGCTCACTGCAATCTCCACCTCCTGGGTTCAAGTGATTCTTCCGCCACAGCCTCGCAAGTAGCTGGGATTACAGGTATGTGCCACCACACCTGGTTAATTTTGTATTTTTAGTAGAGATGGGGTTTCTCAGTGTTAGGCTGGTCTTGAACTCCTGGCCTTGGGTGATCCATACGTATTGGCCTCCCAAAGTGCTGGGATTACAGGCGTGAGCAACTGCGCCGGCCCTACACACTTTTGTAAACAACCAGATCTCGTGAGGATTCACCATCATGAGAACAGCAAGGGGGAAATTCACCCCCATGATCCAGTCACCGCCCACCAGGCCCCTCCTCCAACATTGTGGATTATAATTTCATGTGAGATTTGGGTGGGGACACAAATCCAAACCATATCAAGGGCCACAAAGGACAGTGCACTGGAAGAGGTCTTTAGGTTTTTCAAAAAGGTACTGGAATGTCCAGGGCTATGTTTCCTGTCTGCTTTGGGGACCTTCTGGCCACATGTCATCTGCTGCAGTGGTGGTATCAGAGGAGTCACTGGAGCAAGCAGGGAAGATTTTCAGTTGCCATTTTAAGTACAAATGGCAAGGAGTGTGTTCAAAATGATTTAAGTATTAAACACTATATTTTGGGATTGAATTTAATTTTTTTAATTGACATACTAGTTGTATATATTCATGACGTGATGTTTTGATACATATAATGTGTAGTAATCAGATCAGGGTAATTACACCTGTCACCTTAAACATTTATCATTTGTGTGTGTGTTGAGGACATTTAATAATCTCCTTCTGGCTATCTGAAATTACGTATTACTGTTCACTCTCACCATCGCTCAGTGCTATGCAACGCTAGGACTTACTCCTCCCATCTACCGGGTATTCAGCATTTCTTAACAAATCTTTCTATCCCTGACCCCTTCCTCCGATTCTTCCCAAACTCCTATTTTCTGTTCCACTTTTTACTTCTAGGAAATGAACTTTTTTTAGCTTCTGCATATGACTGAGAACACGTGGTGTTTCACTTTCTGTTCCTGGCTTATTTCACTTCACAGAATGCTCTCCATTTCCATCCATGTTGCTTCCAGAGAAGATTTCATTCTTTTTTGTGTGTGTGGCTGAATAGTAAAAAAATGTTATTTTTATGTCGTGATTACAAGGGAAATACATTACAAGTGTATTCACCTCTGCTAAAAGAAATCGGCATTTTAAAAAGAGGCCTGGCAGTCTTCATATTCTCCCTCACACCCACCCGTGGTGGGTTGCACTGCTCTCCGGAGGGAGCTGAGATCACTCATTCTGTCAAGGAAGGACCACTCAGTGGCTGTCAGTCAGCAGCATCCAGGGTTTCCAGGAGACCCATCTTCTAAAAAGTGAGTGAGTCTAACAGACTAGACAGGACAAAAAGCTATTTCTGTCTCTCTTGGGGCACAGGGAACCCATGGTTTAGACCTTGGCATGACTGTCGGCCCATTTCCACCCTGTTCACGGCCACATTACCATCAACACAAATTAAAAGCAAACAATGGTTAAAATATCCAGGTCAGAGGCTCAAAGGGTTTTTCCAACAGGAATTGAGCAACAAATATTACGCCTCACTGTTCAAAGGAATCCATCTGGTCACAAATGATAAAATACTTCATTGCCTGAGCAGTTGTAGAGTGTAACTCCTCCACCCAAATGTGTCCTTGGCTGTCTCCCTGTTAGACTGTGAGGGCCCTGAGATTGGAGGCTGCCTATCTGAGTGATTCATCCTCGAACCCAACCCAGCACGGGCCTGGCATATTGAAAATGCTCATTAGATGTTTGCTGAATACATTGGAGACTAAAGGCATAAATGGATGAATGGACAAATGCATTAGTTTCAAGTTAAAATTAAAATTTGGCCGGGTGCGGTGGCTCACATCTGTAACTCCAGCACTTTGGGAGGCTGAGGCAGGCCGAGCACCTGAGGTCAAGGGTTTGAGACCAGCCCAGCCAACATAGCAAAACCCTGTCTCTACTAAAAATAAGAAAATTAGCGGGGTGTGGTGGTGGTCGCCTTTAATCCCAGCTACTCAGGAGGCTGAGGCAGGAGAATTGCTTGAGCCCAGAGGCGAAGGTTGCAGTGAACTGACATCACACCATTGCACTCCAGCCTAGGCAACAAGAGGGAAATTCTGCCTCAATAAATAAATAAATAAATAACCATGTAACTGTTTTTAAGTGTGCAATTCAGTGACATTAAGCACATTCACATTGTTTTGTAACAGTCACCAACATCTGTCTCCAGAACTTTTTCATTATCCCAGACTGATACTCTATACCCATTAAACTCTAACTCCCCCATTCCCTCTATACCCAGCCCCTGGCAACCACCGTTCTGCTTTCTGTCTCGGTGATCACACAGCATTTGTCCTTTTGTGACCGGCTTATTTCACTTAACATAGTGTCCTCCAGGTTCATTCATGTTGCCGTGTGTGATGGGATGTGCTTCCTTTCCAAGGCCAGACAATATTCCATCGTATGTAGAGACCACGTTTTGTTTAGTCATTCAGCAACGGGCACTTGGTGGCTTCCATATTTTGACAATTGTGAATAATGTTCTGAGCATTAGTGTACACGTATCCCTTCAGGGCTCTGAACTCAGTCCTTTTGGGTATATATCAAAAAATGGAATTGCTAGATCATATTGTCATTTCTATGTTTAATATTTTGGAGAAGGCTTTCCATAGCTGGTTTCCATTTTCTGGATTTTTTAGTATGTAGAATGGCCGTGTGATATCCCATGGCGGTTTTGTCTGGATTTCCCTAATGAGGAGTGATGTTGAATCTGTTTCCTCTGTTTATTGACCATCTATATGTCTTATTTGGAGAAATGTCCACTCAAGTCCTTTGACCATTTTTTATTGGGTTGTTTTGTGTTGTCGTTGAATGTTAAATCTTGTACGTTCTGGCTGGGCGCGGTGGCTCACGCCTATAATCCCAGCACTTTGGGAGGCCGAGGTGGGTGAATCACGAGGTCAAGAGATCGAGACCATCCTAGTCAACAAGGTGAAACCCTGTCTCTACTAAAAGTACAAAAATTAGCTGGGCATGGTGGTGCACGCCTATAGTCCCAGCTACTCTGGAGGCTGAGGCATGAGAATTGCTTGAACCTAGGAGGCAGAGGTTGCAGTGAGCCGAGATCGTGCCACTGCACTCCGGTCTGGGTAACAACGGTGAAACTCCATCTCAATAACAACAAAAAAATCTTGTACATTCTGGATATTTATCCCTTATAAGATATATGATTTACAAATGTATTCTCCCATTCTGTGAGTTAGGTTGTATAGGGGTGGAAGTTATGATACTTTTTCTCACCCATTGTAAGGGTCATGGCTGATTCTTCTATAGCAAAAGGCAGTCAACAAGAGAAAAGCATACCACATTTATTTAATCGCGATTTCACATGAAAAGGGAGACTTTAGAAATGAAGACCCAGGAAAACTGTCTATTTTCATGCTTACATTCTGTGGAGAATGGACAGTCCTCTGGGAAAGTGATTGGACAAAAGGCTATGAACACATTGTAAGAGACTAAACGGGAAGGCTGGTCTATTACAGTGGCTGTGTGTTCAGATTCCTCTTGGCCTTTCTGTATAGCATTCCTTCCTCCCAGGTGTAGGGCAGGACCACTCTGGAATGAGGGTCTTCAAGGGAGAAGAAAGGAGAAGGGAGAAAGTGGCCTTTCTACGTTTTATGGCTTGCTTTGGGGGAGAGGAGGTTTAGAATCTATGATCACCTTGGGGGAAGTGGAATTCTAGTTTCTTTGGCTCCCTTTCAGGGAAGAAAGAGGACCAGAGACAGAAGGTCAGGAGAGGCCTGATAGCCCATGTTCTGAGGTCCTTCCAATGTGACTACTTGGGCTTACGTCAAAATTTCAAAGACAGAGACAATTTTTTTTTTTTTTTTTTTGAGACCGAATCTCACTCCGTAGCCCAGGTTGGAGTGCAGTGGTATGATCTCAGCTCACTGCAGCCTCCACCTCTCAGGTTTAAGCAGTTCTCGTTCCTCAGCTTCCCGAGTAGCTGGGATTACAGGTGCCTACCACCATGCCCTGCTGATTTTTGTATTTTTAGTAGAGATGGAGTTTCACCATGTTGGCCAGCTAGGCTGGTCTGGAACTCCTGGCCTCAGGTGATCCGCCTGCCTCAGCCTCCCAACATGCTGAGATTATAGGCGTTAGCCACCGCCCCTGGCCAATTTTTGTATTTTTAGTAGAGACTGGGGTTTCACCATATTGGCCAGGCTGGTCTCAGACTCCTGACCTCAGGTGATCTGCCTGCCTTGGCCTCCCAAAGTACTGGGATTACAGGTGTGAGCCACCACACCTGGCCTGACAGAAACAACTTTTTATTTATGCAACTCAAGAGAATTCCTGAGAAAGCCCCAAACAGTGGTATTCATTTTCATTTGAACGTATTAAGGGATGAATATGTAATTATTGTCTTTACCAATTATGTTGGATTCAGATGGAAAAAGAAGTCTGAAGTACTTTAGGCAGTCTTGTCTACTTTGTCTTACCTTATGAGGAATGTTATGCCCTATGCTGTATTTTAAAGAGAACCAGCTGGCAGAGTGAGGCAAGGAAGGGAGACCCACAGACCAGAAAGGGTTAAACACTCTTCACAACATCCACAGCAAGAACCCTGGCGTTTCACAGGCATGTGTCAGGTTCCCAGGTAGAAATGGTGTATTAGGGAGGTATTCTCAGTGATTGACAGGTCTGGGAGGGGAGAAGATCTAAAAGCAAGCCCCTTGGTGACCACGAAGGCAGAACATTCATTTTCCTTGCCAAGAAATGTTTGTGAAAGTTATGACTCAGCAAGTCTGGAATCGGCTGAGTCCTTCAGACAAGATGAAATAAATAACCCCTCCACCACAGTCAAGGCACGGTGGCCACACAGATCGAACAAACTGATTCGGGTTATTTTTGCTGAGTTTCATATTCTCAGGTAATTTTATTTTATTTTTTTTATAAAGGCAGTTTATAAAATTGACATGCTTGGCTTAGGGTAGAGGTAGAAGCATTCCATCCAAGGGCAGGAAGGCTGGGTGAAGAAAGGAAACCTCCCACGTGGATCCAGAAGTTTGAGGCCAGCCTGGCCAACATGATAAAACCCTGACTCTACTAAAAATACAAAAAATTAGCTAAGAGTGGTGGCAGGTGCCTGTAATCCCCAGCTACTTGGGAGGTTGAGGCAGGAGAATTGCTTGAACCTGGGAGACGGTGGTTGCAGTGAGCCGAAATTTGACCACAGCACTCCAGCCTGGGCAATAACAGCGAAACTCTGCCTCAAAAACAAACAAACAAAAGTCATTGAGTGGCCACGGATTAATGCACACAAGTTTCTGGCTTTTCTTAGGAAGACCAGCTGAGCAGGCCTGGAGCCAGTAGAGGGAGCCACTGTTTTCTTTCACACCTTACCCTGATATTCCCTCATTTGATCCTCACCTCAGTAGTCACAACTATTATCTCCATTTTGCAAACAAGGAAACAGAGAAGCTGAGTCACACACCCGAGGTCCTGCAGCCGGCAAAGACAGTGCCCTCCGTGGACTGGATCCTGAAGAAGTGTTTTGCAGCCCAGCTCTCATTCACTTCTCTCGATCTTAGACAAAAGCTAGTTTTCGTAAAACTCATTCTGATGCCCTCACTCCGCTCCCAGGTGGACGCCGTGCCCCATTTCTGCCAATTTCCCTTCTCTGGTCTTTGCTTAATGTTAATGAGAATTAGTTCAGCTTTATCTGTTCTCTCACCCCGAGCTCCTGGCCACCAACTGCACATGTCAAAAGCAATTTCCATCCAAATTAGCAGTAGTGGAGTGTGAAGTGCTTACACGGCACCAAGAGAGGTTTCCTCTGGAGATAGCAGGGGAGGCTGTGGAAGTCAGTAATCAGATTTCTACAGGGCACCTGGGTCTTTGCAGAAACCCAAAGGCATCTGGCTGGGTGTGGCTGGGTGGGAGAATCTAGCTCCACAAGTGGGTGGGTCCCTAGATGAGGGGAGGGACAGCATGGCCAACCCATTGCCCAGGAAGAGTAATAGACAGAGAAGTGCTTGGGACCTTGGCTCCCGGGCTGGACTGACCCCAGATGGACACCCGTGCTCATTTTGTCTTCCCAAGGCCCTTCCTCCAGGAACTCATGGCTCCTCGAAGCCTAGTCTCCAGTTGGAGCCGCCCTGGGCAAAGGAAGCCTTGCTGCACCCTGACCATGAGGCCCACAGGATACGTTGGCAGCGGTTCTGGGAGGACAGCCCAGGTGCCCTCATGCAGTGTTGGGCCCACCCCCTGCAGGGGACTGATGCCCACTTAAACATAGCCTCTCTTTTCCCATCTCTACTCCTCTTTCCCATGACAGTGAGACCCCTCAGGTTGTGACAGTAGATCCTGGTTCTTCAGGCCCCCTGAACTGGGGCAGAGGGGGGTGACCTCACCACCCCTTCCTTGGCCCCAGGGGACAGTGTAACCAGGACCCTTCTGAGCAGGTCAGTGAACCTGGAGGAACAGTAGGGGGTAGCAGAGGTATGGGCAGGAAAAGAGTTGAGTAGACACTTGCCACAGGAGACATGGGCCAGTGTGAGCTGCCGCTCCTGGGAAGGCATTAACCGTCAGCTGTACTGAGCCCCAGAGGCTATTCCTACGATACACTTTATGGTGGTTTCTTCACAGTAAGGTGGGTGGAGTCACTTTCAGGCTTATTTGGGTGCTTAAGGTTACATGCAGGGTATTTGGATCTGGATAATGGGGGGCTTGTAATTTATAGCAGTTTTTTGAATGAATGAAAAACTGTTAGATGGACAAATGGATGGATGGTTACATGGATGGATGGATGAAGGGGTGGATGAAGGAAGGGATGGATGGATTGATGAATGGATAGTTGGTTGAATGGATCAAGGGATGGATGGATAAAGAGATGAGTGGATGGATGATGGATGGATAGATGGATAGATGAAGAGATGGATGGGTAGGTGGGTGGTATGCAGCATACCTGAAGTGCTTGCAATCCTAGATCCATTCTTCATATTCACTAAGCTGTAGGACTCAAATCTATAGTTTCAAGTTCCTTGAAGGTTGGGCTCTTCTCTAACCACCTTATCGTTCAGTATGAGCAGATCCTCTGTGCAGATGTAGTTGGCAATAATGTGAGCAGTACTGACTCAGCATGATAAAGATCATGGGCTTTGAAATCAAATGAACCCAATCTTGAATGCTGGCTCTGCAAATTCTAAGCTGTGACCGTGAGCCAGTCATTTAATCCTGTTGAGCCTTAGTTTCCTCATCTACAGAGAGTGTTAATAATGTCTACCTTAAACTATTGAATCTGAGGATTAACTCAGATAATACATGTAAAGCATCTAGTTTAGTATTAAAACATGCCCCCCATGGCACTCAGTAAGTGATAAACAGAAATTTGTTTTCTAGCCCTCGGTCTAAAATTTCCACCTCCCAGGTACAAGTGATTCTCCTGCCTCAGCCTCCTGAGTAGCAGGGATTACAGGCGCATGCCAGCACACCTCGCTAATTTTCGTATTTTTAGTAGAGACAGGGTTTCACTGTGTTGGTTAGGCTAGTCTCAAACTCCTGACCTCATGATCTGCCCACCTCAGCCTCCCAAAGTGCTTGAATTACAGGGGTGAGCCACCGCCCCCAGCCCTCCCATGTAATTTAAGTCATCTCTAGATGACTCGGTGTCTAATACAATGCCTGCACATCACTTCACGTGCGTAGCTTCAATGCAGTACTTGCAGCATGGTGAATTCAAGTTCTGCTTTTTGGATAGTGAATTGAAGTTCTGCTTTTTGGATGTTTGTGTAACTTTTTTCTGAATATTTTTTAACTGTGGCTGATTGATCCCAGTGGATTCAGAACTCTCAGATATAGAAGGCAGATTGTAAATGCATAACAAGGCTTAAAATCCGCTAGAGCAAGTCCCCCGACTCTGTTGGCTTTTGAAAGCATCTTGGTTGCTCTTAACCCATTGCTGGAACTTTACCTTGAGTTTACATCCCTGCCTGGCCCTCTCCCCTCAGTTTTCCTCAAATTCTCCAAGCACCATGGTGCAGTCCTGTCTGGCAGGTGTTTGCTGCAGCTCTGGAAACTGCTGTGTGAGTCCTTGTGTTGTAAGAGAAGAATCACCCCTGAGGGCTGAGCCTACATTCTCCCACCCTGGGCATCTCAGAACCTTCCACCATAGAGAGCAAGTCCTAACCCCACTCTGACCTCTCTCATTCCCAGCACCTTTCCAGCCAGTCCCACTCCCTGGCTTCAGGTTCCTGCCCCACCACCTAGGAAGACTGGGCCAAGCTGTATAGACTCTCTGTGCCTAAGTTCCCTCCTCTGTGAAACAAATTGTAATAGTATCAGCCTCATGGGGTTGCAAGGACTCAGTGAGATCACAGCACCTGGTGCATAGTGGGTATCATCTATGCTTTGCTACAAGTGGGGCCATTTGCATTTCTCCCATTTCTCCCAGCTCTTGCCTCCCCCTTGTCTCCTCTGGTGTAGAAAGCTCTAGTAAGACCCTGTAGATCCAGATCAGCTATGTAGGAACACACCTGCAATTGATTAGTACTCAGCTGCGCATGGTGGCTCACGCCTGTAATCCAAGCACTTTGGAGGCCAAGGCAGACAGATCACCTGAGGTCAGGAGTTCAAGACCAGCCTGACCAACATGGTGAAACCCCTGTCTTGTTATTTAAAAAAAAAAAATGAATGGTTCTCAAGTTGGATCCAGCCCATCTGCCATATGGATCTGAAATGCATGCATTCCTCATCTCTGCTGCACACTGGCTCTGTTCTTTCTGCGCCCCCACCCCCAACAGCAGCTCGTTCCCCACCTCCCACCTCCACTCCTGCACTCTCCATCAAGCAGCCAAAGTAATCATTCCGAAAGACAGATGAGATCATGTCATCTCCAGACTAAAGGCAAACAGATGCTTTATTAGGGTATAATTTACATACCTATGTACACCCTTGTAAATGTACAATTCCATAGTTCTTCCTGTATTCACAGTGTTGTACAACCATTTCTGCAATCTAGTTTTAGAGCATTTGCCTCACTACAAAAAGAGTCCTAGCCCATTAGCAATCATTCCCTGTCCCCCTGCCCTATCCCCTGGCAACTGCTACTCTGGTTTCTGTCTCTATGGATTTGCCTGTTCTGTACATTTCATATAAATAGAATTAGGCAATATATCACTTTTTGTGACTAGTTTCTTCTGCTTTGCATAGCGTCTTCAAGATTCATTATGTTGTGTAGCTTATGTGAGTACTTCATGCCTTTTAATGGCTGAATAGTATTCTATTATATGAATAGATCACAAGTGTTTATTCATTCAGCAGTTGATGGGTATTTGGGTTGCTTCTACTTTTTGGCAATACTGAATAATGCTTCCATAAACATTCACATATAAGTTTGTATGTGGGCACATGTTTTCAATTTTTTGGAGAAATACCTAGAAGTGGAACTGCTAGGTCACATGGTAACTATGCTTAACATTTTAAGAAACTGCCAGACAGTTTTCCAAAGGAGCTGTACCACTTTGCAACCCTACTAACAATGTATGAGAGTTCCAATTTCTCCACAACCTCACAACACTTACTGCTGTCTTTTGCTTTATTTAAGCTATCCTAATGAGTGTGAAGTGGTATCTCATTGTGGTTTTGATTAGAATTCCCCTAATGACTAGTGATGTTGAGCATTTCTTCATGAGCTTATAGACCATTTGTCAGTCTCTTTTGGGGAAAAAAATGTCCATTCAGATTTTTTGCCCACTTAAAATATTGGGTTATTTGTCTTTTTATTCCTGAGTTGTAAGAGTTCTTTATACATTCTGGATACCAGTCCCTTATCAGAGATGGGAGTTGCAAATACTTTCTCCCATTATGTGAGTTGATTTTTCATTTTCTTGATGGTGTCCTTTGAACAAAATTTAATTGTGATAAAGTCTTATTCTCTTTTTCTTTTTTTTTGAGACAGAGGTTCACTCTTGTTACCCAGGCTTGAGTGCAATGGCGCGATCTCGGCTCACCGCAACCTCTGCCTCCTGGGTTCAGGCAATTCTCCTGCCTCGGCCTCCTGAGTAGCTGGGATTACAGGCACGCACCACCATGCCCAGCTAATTTTTTGTATTTTTAGTAGAGATGGGGTTTCACCATGTTGACCAGGATGGTCTCGATCTCTTGACCTCGTGATCCACCCACCTCAGCCTCCCAATCTCTTTTTCTTTTGTCTCTTATGCTTTAAGTATCAGTTCTCAGAAACCATTGCCCAACCCAAGAGCATGAAGATTTACATTTGTGTTTTCTTCTAAGAGATTAATAGTTTTAGCTCTTATATTATTCTTATTGTACATGGTGTGAGGTAAGGGTCCAACTTCATTCTTTTGCATGTGCATATCCAGTTGTCCCAGCACTTTGTTGAAAAGATTGTTTTTTCTCCATTTATTTGTTTTACTACCCCTGTCAAAAATCAATGGTCACAAGTGTAAGGGTGTATTTCTGGACTCCTAATTTCATTCCGTTGACTTGTATGTCAGTCCTTAGCACACTACCTCACCATCTTGATTCCTGTAGCTCTGCAGTAAGTTTTTATATCAGGGAGTGTGAGTCAATCCGAGCCCACACCCTATCCACTTCCCCTCCTGCCCTGTGAGCCTTGGGACAAAATCAACACTGTGTTTCCTTCTGCGTAGAAGGCCTTCCCTTCTTGACCTGGTGAATTATCGGTTACCCCTAGCCCGGCTCAAACTTCCCAATTTCTTGGAGCCTCTCTAGTCGTATGGTTATCTCCCTTCTGTGTTTCCTACCTTTGTAGCAAACCACAAAGCCACCCACTGCACCAAAGTTCTAGGCTTTTCCATCCAGCTCCTCAAGGTACATGAAGTAACCTCCTTCATCTTGGTATTGCCAGCACCCAGTACAAGGCTTGGCACCAAAGGGCCACTCAGAGAAATTGAAGCATAAATGGGTGAAAGGTCTGGGACCCATGGAGGAGATGGGTGTGCGACGGGACAACTCCAAGGGGACTCAACCTAGGAGGAGCTTCCAGGTTTCACTGAATAGTCAGTGGCAGCTCAACAGGTTGAGTCTTAGCTCTGGAATTTAGAATGATGATTAGAAACATACACAGACCACTTCTTGGCGGCATTGTCACAAGTGCCACCATGGGAATTTAGAAAGCCAGGGTGTGACAAAGCAAGAGAAGGTTATGTTGGGGGTGGGAGGCAACTGTATACAGCTGTGTCCTCTTCAGAGACACCACAGCCCTGCTTTGGGAGGCCTCTGCTTTCAGGTCCAGTCCCAGATGCTACTTGGCCAACTTGAATTTAACCCAAAGGTCCTCCAGTATTTTTTCACATAAATCCAACTAAGAAGCTCCTGTAGATGACAATGGACATGCACCCTTAGGATGAAACGGAGCTAGCACACCCTCCCCCAGGGGCCCAGTTTGCTACATGGTACTGCATATCTTCATGTCGCCACAGCCGCAAAGAAATGTGGAATCAAAGGGGGTAGGCCAAAAGCCAAGATGTGGGCTCTGATCTAGGGGAATTTTCCAGCCAGAGTAGAGCCAAGTAGAGCCGAGTAGAGCCCCTTTACCTTTCTCGTCTCCTGAGACCCGGACACTGCCAACCAGTGCTCCCCTGAAGCAGAAGCCCAGTTCAGCCCTGAGGCTCCGAGCCTGGTGGAGAAGAACACACACTGTAGTTTCCTTTTCACAAGATCAACTCAGGCTGCAAACATCCACTAAACCCCATTCTTGTCCCAGCCCCGCCCCCCACACTCTGCCAGTGGGCAACAGCCATCAGTAGCAGTAAAGGGTTTATTTTTCTTTTTATGTTTTTATTTTTAAAGACAGGGTCTCACTCTGTTACCCAGGCTGAAGTGTAATGGTGCAATCATAGCTCATTATAGCCTTGAACTCCTGAGCTCAAGGGATCCTTCCATCTTGGCCTCCCCCCAGTAGCTGGGACCACAGGCATGTGCCACCATGCCTGGCTAATTTTTATCTATCTGTCTGTCTATCTATCTATCTATCTATCTATCTATCTATCTATCTATCTATCTTAGTAGAGACAAGGTCTGTGTTGCCCAGGCTGATCTTGAACTCCTGGCTTCAAGTGATCCTCCCACCCTGGCCTCCCAGAGCGCAGGGATTCCCGGCATGAGCTACTGCACCCAGCCAGCAGCTAAGGGTCGAAATGTGCCGAGTGCTCTTTCTATGCCAGGCCTGCGCTGGGTGCTTGATATGTGTCACTCCTTTTCATTTTTGCAGCATCCCTAGAAAGTGACACATTGACCTTCCTTTACAGATGAGGAAACTGAGGCTCAGAGAGGTATCTTTAGAGGGTCCTTAATAAGCAGCCAGGATGGGATCTCAGGCCTCACTGGCTCCAGCTGAGCCCTGGGCTGGGCTGTAGTGTTTTCTCCCAAGCCAGGCAGTCCAACAGAGTCCACACTAGCAGCAGAGCCTGGGGGACCAGCTAGAGATCGTGGCATTCCTGAATGTGGCCGAGATTGTTCCGCTTTAGGTCTGAACCAGGAATCAAGGGGCAAGGTAGCCTCTTACCTTCAAAGGGTTGGGCTCTCCCCAGGGGAGGGGACTACAGGTGGCACCAGAAGGACCCCACTAAACACAGCATAAGAGGGACTAGCTGCCCAAAAGATGCTGGGAAGTGAAACTCAAGAAGCCGTGCACTGGATCTGGGCAGGGAGGGGCCAACGAGCAGCGAGGGAGCCCAGTCCAAAGGCCCTTGCTCTGTCTGGGTTACAGATTTAGGATGAGAACGGAAAGTGCCCCCCAGGCTTTCTTTCTGTGGCCTCAGCTCCATCACTGCAGCTGACAGCTTTATGTGCCTGTGTCTGCTGAGTGGGAGCCCAGCCAGGGAGCGGTCCAATAAATTAAGCTCTAAATCACAGTTGCCTCCTTCCGGCCAACAGCCAGAAGCTCCCAGAGAGCTCCAGGGTTTCTGAGCTCAGCACACATGGCTCCGACTTAGCAGCTTCGGGGAACTGTCCCTGGGGAGTAAGCCAGGGCCAGAGACACACTTAACTCCTGTGGTTAGAATAACCCTGTGCCCTGGGGCCTGTGGAAGCTCTGCCACGGCCAGGTTGGTCCCCAAGACACCAGAGAGCATCTGCCTAGAGAGAAACAAGTGCCCCTCCCCTGCATGTACTCTGCATATACCCAGACCTGATGCCCAGAAACTCCAGCCACTTGGGACAGTGGAAGATGCCCAGGCCATGAATTCAAGTGGAACTAGCCACTGTTCCTTACCCCTCACTTGCCTGCTGTGTGACTCTGGGTAAATTGCTCTGCCTCTCTGAGCTGTGGTTTGCTCATATATAAAGTAGAGCTGCTAGTAGCAATTGGGGTTGAGAGGATTCAGTGTCTAGTCCGTATCAAGGGTGCTCACCAGATGTACCCTCCCTTCTCAGGATGGCAAACAAAGACTCCTCATTTCCCACACAAGACCCCCACCTCTGGTGTCATCTGAAACCCCACAGGAGGTATCCTCGGCATCTGGTTTATGGCAGACAGTGAAATGGCAGGGACGGGACAGTGGGACAGGTCTGTGGGGTGGGAGGGGGCGAACGGCCTCACCAGTGAATCCAGAGGAGGGGCTGGGCACTGGCGATGCAGGCCCAGATGACGCAGCAGCGCGTTCGCACTTTAACCAGCCACAGAGACCACCACCTCCAGACCCAGCCCTATTGCGCAAGGTCGTCAGTGGCTCCAGGAGAGGTGGGAGCGGCAATGGGAGGGGATTAGCACCAGCTCCACTCAGCAGGCCTGAGCTGGCCTTTGTCCCTCTGGACTCCCCCAGAGCCCAGAGCAGACAGGAGCTTAGGTCCTGAATGGGATGGCTGGATGGGCCTCCTCCCAGCTGTCCCTCCACCCAACCATCCCCACAGCAAGCCACTGGACTTGGTCCCCTCTGTCCCCTGCCCCTAGAGTTCCTGGCTACAGATCTGAGGCTGGCCTTCTCTGAAACTGCCTTTTAGCCTCTCTGTTCACAGCCTCAGCTCTCTGCCCTTAATATGCAGAAAATGTCACATATTCCAGGACACAACCTTGAATTGTTCACTTCCCTGGGTGATCCCTGCCACGTTTCCCATGTCCCTGAGCCCCGAGTGCATGTACAATGATGGAAGTTTCCAGAAGCTTGAGCCTCTGGGTATCAGGCAGACCTGGCTGGGATCGATGTCCTAGTGACCCCATCCATCACGCGCAGATACAAAGGCTAGGTCTGACATTGCGCTGGCATTGAGAATGCTGACTTTGTGGTCTTGGCTTTTCAGAATATCTGTCATGAACCTTTAGTTCTTTTATAAATGGGGTAGGGGAGAGGAGCTTTAGTGTGTGTGGATGTAGATTGGGACGGCCATGCCTTGATGAGTAAGTTCCTTCCTGGCTCAAGAAGCCCGGTGCCCTCCCTTTGCAATTACTGGGGCAGTCCTGGCATCACTTCTAGGGGCAAGAATCTGTGACCAGAGACCCCATCCCAGGACACTGGTCCCAATGGCCACCCAAGTTTTCAATAATCAAGGCTTCCCAAGGTGTACAAGGAGGAGAATTAGCACAGTCTCTATGGAAATTAATCCCCAAGAACCTGCTGAAGTTAAAACTCTACTTTCCCTCTGCCCCGAAGGTCTGGAAAGGCTTTGGGAGTAAGGCGTTTGCTAAGGCGCGGCGTGTGGTGGCGAAACACTGTAAACAGCCCAAACAGACACCGGAGGAAAGTGGGAATAGCCTGTGGGCCTTCCCCAGCCTGGACTTCCATGCGGCCACTGAAAGAATGACTTCCAGCAATGTTGGCATGGCCTGGAGGGACTCCCAAGCTACAGGGAAGCTGCAAAGGCGAGCTGAGGGGCGCAGTGTGCTGAGAATGAGGCCTTGGTTTGTAAAGAGCTGTGTTAAGAGCCTGCACTCTATCCATGTCACGTATCGCGGTGAGCGGGTCCCCCACACCTTCCTCCACTGTGTCCGCTCCAGCATCTTCTTGCAGTGCCTCATGGGCTGGATCAGTACCTCATGGGCTGGATCAGTGCCTCATGGGCTAGATCAATGCTTTTTTTTCCTGACTCCTATTTGGCTGCAAGGAGAATGGCAACCTCAGCCCCAAGATCTTCATCCATGTGTGCCACTTCAAGCAGCATGTCTGGCACTGGGCCATCCCCAGGGGGGCTGCAGGAGGTCAGAACCTGCTGCCCTCACCTTCAGTCCCTGTGGACCCACTTGACATGGTCTGCTCGAGTGGGCCTTAATGTGGCCCTAGCAGGTAGAGCTCCAGGTCTCATTTGCAAACCAGGCCCCGAGTCCTGCCCACTCTTCATGGGTGACCACAAGCTCTGAGTCCTCCTGCATTGTAAGAAAGACACAGAGCCTGTCCTTTCCACCAAGAAGAGCCCACCCAGCATGCGGGGGGTCAGGTACTCTGTTGGGAGGGACCCCCCAGCAAAGACCAAAGGATAGGCCTGGAGCCCAGTTCCCTGTGGCTTTCTCTCTAAATTCTCCTCTCTTTGTCTCTTTCTCCGGAGGAGGAGAGGGTGGTGCCTGGGACTCAGGGGGTGCCTCTGTCACTGTGTTCAAGGGCGAGGCCCTCTGGATCTTCAGGTGGAAATATTAGGAAGAAGGAGGATTAGAACCAGAGGGACTCTCGTCTGAAAAGGAGGATGCCTAGGAATGTGAGACAGCTGTGGCCAGAGAGCTGAAGGGACCCCGGATTCCATGGGGCCACGGGGGCCAGCTCAGCAACAGGCAGATCTTCAGGGAAACACCTCCACGGGCTCCGCTGCTGCGAGGAAGGGGCCTTGGAAGAGCTGGGAGCCCCTGTCACAGCCACATCCAAGGGCATCTATGCCCATGCCCTTGACTGCGTTATCTTTTCCCAGTTGGTTAGACAGTGGTCTCCCCGATGAGGCTTATATACCCAGGTCATTTAAGAAGTTGATCTTGGCTGGGCACCGTGGCTGACACCTATAATCCCAGCACCTTGGGAGACTAAGGCAGAAGGATTGCTTGAGCCCAGGAGTTCAAGACCAGCCTGGGCAACATAGTGAAACCCAGACCCTATCTCTAGCTGGGCACAGTGGCTTGCACCTGTATTCCCAGCTACTCAGGAGGCTGAGGTGGGAGGATCACTTGAGCCCAGGAGGTCAAGGCTCCAGTGAGCCATGATTGTGCCACTGCACTCCAGCCTGGGAGAAAGAAGAAGACCCTTTTTTAAAAAAAATAAGTTGATCATGAAGAAGGCAGGGTGGATGGCCAGCCCCACTGTGCCCAGGCAAGGCTGCGGGTGAGAGCCTGGCAGGGTAGCGGGGGAGCTGCAGTGCCCCATGCACCGCCATGTCCACAGAGGGCACAGCTCTTCCCTGTGCTGCTGCCGGCCCTGACCCAGGACATGAGGGGCTAAGCCCCAGCTACCCACCTCCCCTCTCGGCGTTCTTGTTCCAGCAGCGCAGTGACTGCAGTGCACTCAGAGTTTTCAGATAAAGTTCTCCCTTTTCAGTCTGTTTGATTCTCATAGAAACCCAACAAGCAAGATAAGGCATCCTGAGCCTGTCGAACAGATAGGAAAGTGAAGGTCTCTCAGAGGGGACAGAACTTATGTGTTAATTAGCAGTGGAGCTGAGGCCAGAGCCGCCTCCGCTACTGAGGGAGGAGGCCCCCTACCTCCTACCTTGCAGACCTCCACCTCTACCATCCAGATGACAAGGAGAGTAAAGGGAGATAAAATCCCAAAGAACTGGAATCAGTGGTCAGGTGACTTGCTGACACCACTGGCCAGGCCATAATGAGGTCCAAAGGCTGGGAAGGTACTTCCTTTTCAGTTCCCAGCGTTTATGCTAACTATAAACCTTGAAAGTGTGGCAAAGAATGTTGCTCTTACCCCCCAGATCCTGCTACTACTGGGTCACGTCCTCCACGTTTACAGGATCCAGACCCCCTCCTGGAAATACCTCTGCCAACTAATGATTTACTGCCTTTGTCCCCTGCCCATTCCCACACGTGCCACATATGAACTAGCAGATCACTGAAGCCAAAGACTGTAAGGGCAATTGTCCAGCCAATGGACAATGACATAGTTTCACCTCAGTTTCTCCTTCAGAGCTGTAAGCCTAAAAAAGGCAGGGGGGAGTTCGGTACTTGCGATGTAAGCTCAGTACTTGCGACCTAAGCTTTTCGAGGAGTTCTGTACTTGCAACGTAAGCTCGGTACTTGCGACGTAAGCTCGGTACTTGCGACGTAAGCTCGGTACTTGCGACCTAAGCTTTTCGAGGAGTTCTGTACTTGCAACGTAAGTTCGGTACTTGTGACGTAAGCTCGGTACTTGTGACGTAAGCTCAGTACTTGCGACGTAAGCTCGGTACTTGCGACGTAAGCTCGGTACTTGCGACGTAAGCTCGGTACTTGCGACCTAAGCTTTTCGAGGAGTTCTCTACTTGCAACGTAAGTTCGGTACTTGCGAAGTAAGCTCGGTACTTGCGACATAAGCCCACAGAGACTCCACGGCCGATTAAAGGTCTCTTCCTTCCCCACTCTAGTGTCTGAGGGGTTTTGTTCACAGATTGTCCTGCCGGTTGCAGTGGAAACAGGGAGGCCAATGCTGCATTTTAACATCCCCCATCTTTACTGTCCAAGACGCTCCTCCATTCTATCGGGGTCTCCACATTGTGTGTGAGTGTCGGGCGCACAGGTTTGTCTCAGGGTCCGAGTGTCACACATGCAGGCTCCTGGACACAGCGGTGCCTGGCCTGCAGCCCTGCTGACATGCCGGTCCTGGGACCAGGCCCATTGCATCTGGTTGTTTCTACAGGCACCACACTGTACCCCAAAGGACTTTGAGAAAATGTATCCTGCCTTCCCAAAGTTCTGTGTCATCTGAGAAAAGCTGGAACCCACTGTGATGTTCTTTGTAACTGGAGGTGTTCTGAACTCAGAGCAGAAAACAAGCCACCCCACCCCTCCCAGACCACTTATATGAGGGTGGAGCCCCAGCGTCCCATTAGCCCAATGATGGGGGAGGAGATGTCCCCTCCAAACCCCACAGTGATAAGCTGGGTCCTGGATAAGGGCTCCCTTTATCCTCCCAATCCCCCCAGCTGGAGGTGGCCTGGCACCCACACCCCTGTTTACATCTTGAACACGCACCCCATCCTGCAATCGTCTGCAATCACCACATCCTGTTTTCCCAGGAGAAAGAGGGGCTCTGATACGTTATGTTTGTCTAAGAGGTCAGGGGTTCAGTCACTCATAGATTCCACCTGGGTGTGGAAATAAAATTCCCAGGGTCTGTAGCCTTGTGGGTTCCCTCTCCAGCCCTTTTTGGAAGGGGGCCCTTTGGCAACTGTTGGGGCACAGGAGTGGTGTGCACCCTGCTCTGATTTCTCTTACCCTTGAGGGTCTCCAGGAGCTCAGGTGAGAGCCCACCTGCCTGGGGCTGCCCTCTCCCAGCAGGGTCTGCCTGGACTTCAGCCCTCCCATAACCTGACCAGCAGCATGTCTGTTTCAGGGGTGTTTGGGGAACGGGACTCTTATCACCTTTTTTTTTTCCTCACCTTCTTAATAAAGACCAAGAATTGATTACCCCCCTGTCCCCTCCTCTGCACCTCCAGGGTCATTTTTGGGAGCAAGAGGCTCACTGATTACCCCAGAAGGCTTCCCTCCTAGGATGACCAGTCTTGGACTTGCCTAGAAAATGTTTTTCATATCCCTTTTTTCAAATGTAGTTTCAGTTTGCCTCTAACCTGCCATGCCTTGCAGACTTCATGGAGCGCATTCCTTGATCATCTGCCATGCATCAAGTGCTTGAGGGGAATGAAAAGAACCTTAGGGCAGGTTCCTGCTCTCAAGAAATATAGATTCCAATCATTTATCTCATGAGGGATTAATTCCAGAATACATTGAGAATTCCTACAATTCACCAACGAAAATACAAATGACCCAATCCGAAAGTGGGCAAAAGATTTGAAATAGACATTTCTCTAAAGAAGATATACAAATGATATTTTAAAAAGCACATTGAAAGATGCTCCACATCACTAGTGTTTAGGGAAATGCAAATAAAACCAATGAGAGACCATTTCACACCCTGTGAATCAATATTAAAACAACAACAACAGAAAATAGCAAGTGTCTCATGAAGATATGGAGAAACTGGAACTCTTGTGCTTTGGGGTTTCCCTCAAAGCACAAATGTAATGGAAATGAAGCAGAAATGTAAAACAGGGCAGGCATTATATAAAATGGCACAGTGGTTCCTCAGAAAATTAAACACAGAATTCCCTTATGATCCAGAAATTCTACATCTGGGTATATACTCAAAATAACTCTGTCCGCCCCTGTGCGGGGGGATTCAGGGTGGCCCCTGGTGGCAGCTGTCTGAACCCAGGTGAGGCATACAGGAGGACACCAAGCCCCGGCCTCCAACCTCAAACCTGCTAGTCTCATGTTAAAGTGATGAGGAATGGCACAGAGATGAGAGCCAACCCCCAGGGAGGCACCAGGGCAGTTGCTGAAAAGGAAGAGTTCACTACAGGACAGCTGGTTTCAAACTGGAAGGGATGTCTCTGAGTCCCCTGCCAGGAAGTTCTTATCCTTAGGTCTGCGGTTGCTATTTTATTTGTTCATTTTTTGAGATGAAGTCTTGCTCTGTCACCCGGGCTGGAGTTCAGTGGTGTGACACTGGCTCACTGAAACCTCCACCTCCTAGATTCAAGTGATTCTCCTGCTTCAGCTTCCGAAGCAGCCTGGATTCCAGATACCCACCACCACACTCAGCTAATTTTTGTATTTTTAGTAGAGACAGAGTTTCACCATATTGGTCAGGCTGGTCTTGAACTCCTGACCTCAAGCGATCCACCCGCCTCCGCCTCCCAAAGCACGGGGGTTACAAGGGTGAACTACTGTTCTGGTCAAGTCTGCAGTTACTAGAATGAGGCCAAAGTTGGGAGTTATTCTCAAAATGGAAGAATAGAAGACAGAAGAGTAGCTATGTGCACCCTAATCCCCAGGGCCAGGTGGGGCCTTGAGTCAGTAAAAAGGAAGAACTTCAAGGCAGTATCTCAGCAAAAATGCACTAAACACTGGAGCCTGGCATATCTTAGTTTCCACCCTGGTTTTCCTCCCCATGTAGCAGGGCTTTTCAGAGATCAACAGAAGTCCAGACATTTCCAGAAAATTCTAAAACAGACTCATTGAAATTTTGGTTTGTTTAAAATTTTTGACACACACAGAGTCAGATGATATGCAGTGCTTGAGGTCACTGCAATTACAGTTTTAAAAACCAATACCACCAGGCGTGGTGATACACACCTGGAGTCCCAGCAACTAGGGAGGCTGAGACAGGAGGATCACTTGACCCTAGGAGTTGGAGGCTGCAGTGAGCTGTGATTGCACCATAGCACTCCAGCCTGGACAACAGGGCAAGACCTCGTCTCTGTTTAAAAACAAACAAGCAAACACACATAGCTCATATTCTCTAAGCACGTGGGGTGGTGATGGGCACAGGTTTCAATGTGGAAAACAAACACCTTCCTCTGACAGCGTCAGTGCGTCTCCATGGTTTCATACTCATGAAGTCACTTGTAAATATGTCAGAGTCTTATGAATGTGAGGCTGGAGGAAGTGTCCCCCTGTCACCCCCTCCTCGTGATGGTACTTAAGGATGGGGGCAAGTCTTTATAGGATTGGGCACCTGAGCGGGACTGGGGGTGAAGGTGGGGTCCTGGAAGAATGTCTGGTACCAGCTCAAGGCCATGGTCTTTGTCTCTCTGGGTGCTAGTGGCAACAAATGAGGACAGGCAGGTAGTGCTGTGCGTCTCCCTGTCCCCTTTCCTACCCTGAGGAAGTCCCCACCCTGCCTTGGGCTGGACCAAAGCTAGGTCGTGGCAGGTGTTGGAGGCCCAGTGAATGAGCCCTTGGTGTGACATGGTGGGGGCGGGGCAGGAGGAGCTGTCCACACTCCGATGCGGCCCAGCCAACACTGAGCGATGCTGTCATCTAGGAGGATTATGACCGAGGGGCTGGGATTACAGATTAACCAGGTCAGCATAAGAGAAGAGCAAACCGAGAGTTCATTATTAACCTTGTAAATGTGTCCCCCAGACCTGGCCTTCGCTGCCATCACATCGGCTGACTTAGTAATCATTGGTTCTGTAATAAGCCATGGAGACCCAAGTCCTCTTAGCATTGTCTCTAGAACTACTGGGTTCTTCTGGAGTTTGCCACTATCCTATTTTCTAGTGGGGCCCTGTGACCCCCAGAGTCAGACCTGGGTTCATTCCTAGCTTCAGCACTTACCAGTGACACAACTGCAAAAAAGTGTTCCCTGTTCTTCCCACCGCCCAGCCTCTCTCACAGTGACCTCCCCCCGGGTCGCAGGATGCGTCAGCCTTAGCCTCGCCTGTCACTATGGATGACAGCTCCTGAACCAGTTTACTGTGGAGGCTCAGCTTGTTTGAAGGCACAAACATGAAACTTTTATTCATTCTCAGTGGTGTTCCATCACCTGCTAACATCTCAAGCAGAATCTGTTACCTCCACATAACTCCACAGTGAACAGAACAAGCACTCTGCTTGAGAATGTCAGGCATTTCCACATCAGAGTGCTTTGCCTCTTTCTCTGCTACCACCAATTCTGTACCAGGACTCTGCTCTGCACACCCAGTTGGCTTCCTGGCTCCCATCCCTTTCCTACTCCGGGCCACTTCACAGTGATGGATGGGCTACCCAGAAGTCCCTTCAACAGCCTCTGTGGGCCGCAAAGATTTGGGGTGTGTGCTCCCACATTCTGGCCTTCCTAATCACAAGACACTTATCTGATGCAGGCAGTTCCAGGAAGCCTTTGTAAGCCTTGGAGATAAATATGGGAACCTAGTGAGATTATGTGAAGCCATTGGCTCAGGGCCACTGTGTACAGTTGTGCAAGCTGTGCACTGCACGACTCCAGTGCCGTTTCACCTTGTATCCACAAGAGATTGTAACTTACTACAATTTTCTGGCAGATGACACTCATGTCAACACGGGCTCAGCAGGGTTGGTGCTGCCTGCCTTTACAAACAGATGTCAAAGCCCTCTCTTCTCAGCAGATCAAGCCCTGCTCCTTCTTTGCCACAAGAGTCTTAGAAGCCAGAAGCTGAGAGCTCAGCGTCCGCAGTCTCCCAGCCAGAATTAGCCTCATCTCATCCCCACACCTTGGTGATGTCATGTCCTGCCTCAGTCTTTCCAGCGCCTCAGGTTGGAACCAACCTGGATGGACAGACATCTAAGGACCCCCAAGCCCAGGTCACTGTGCAGAGAAGGGGTCCCAGGAAGCCTCAGAGCCAGCTTCAGGATCTGCCTTTCAGGTGCTAGTATATGAGAGTATTTTTTAAAAACTCTAAAACACTGGATATAAAGGCTGGGTGTGGTACTCATGCCTGTAATCCCAGCACTTTGGGAAGTCAAGGTGGTGGATCACTTGAGGTCAGGAGTTCAAGACCAGCCTGACCAACATGGTGAAACCCTGTCTCTACTAAAAATACAAAAATCAGCCAGAAATGGTGGTCCGTGCTTATAGTCCCAGCTACTCAAGAGTCTGAGACAGGGAGAACTGCTTGAACCAAGGAGGTGGAGGTTGCAGAGAGCTAAGAGCACACCACTGCACTCCAGCCTGGGCAATAGAGCGAGACTCTGTCTCAAAAAAAAAAAGAAAAGAAAACCAACTGGATATAGTGGATATAGTGACTGCCAGAGTCTAGCAACTTAACAATGGAAAAGAGAAAGTAACTTTTGAAACATAGTGTGACGTATACTTTACAATTATGATCACTTACACAAATACCTCTGACCCCGTAATCTTAGTTAATGTATGTCATTAAGTGAATCACACTGACTTTACTCTGAATTTCCTTGATAGCAATACTAAAATACTTACCTTGAACATGGGAAATTAAGCTCTAAGTTTGTTGCTTATAACTTCAAAGAGAGTTGCCCCTTGGCAGTGACATAAGAATATTCTAAGCTATGAATTTACATGTGGACTTTGCTACACACCTGGGATGTAGCTAGATGAGTTTTGTTCCGTTGCAGTATATCTGATGACCAGAACTCTGTAATCAGAGACTATTAATGGATGAAAAGCCTGAGCTTTAAGATTGAGACTGGGAGAAAACTGCCTCCTCACTAACTGGCCGACCCCATAATGCCACCTCAAGTGGTCATCTTAAGCCTCATCCTACTTCTGGCAGATGCCTTAGTTTCTCTACAGGTTGGTGGAGTGGCAGGTCCATCTACCATGCTACCCTGCAGCTACAGGGGAGATGTCACATCCATGTGCTAGAATAGAGACAGGTGTTCTTTACTTAGATGCCCAAATAGCATTATCTGGACCAATGGAACCCATGTCACCTATCACTGTGCTGTAAACTATATGCTGTAAACTATGGGGGATCTTTCCAAAAGGGATGTCTCTTTGACTTTGGGAGCACTTTGGGAGGCCGAGGTGGGAGGATCACAAGGTCAAGAGATTGAGACCAGCCTGGGCAACATAGTGAAAACTCTGTCTCTACTAAAAATATGAAAACTTAGCCAGGCGTGGTGGCATGTACCTGTAGTCCAGCTACTCGGGAGGCTGAGGCAGGAGAATTGCTTGAACCCGAGAGGCAGAGCTTGCAGTAAGCCGAGATCACACCACTGCACTCCAACCTGGCAACAGAGTGAGACTCCATCCCCCACAAAAAAAAGAAAAGAAAATACATCTTTGTCTGACAGTGGCTTGTATTGTTGCCATGTTGGGCACAAGGTATAGTTCAATGACATGAAAATCACTGTATCATTGGCGATGGTACCACCCAGGGTCACAACTACTCCAATTGTCACGATTGTTCCAACCTTCACAACTGTTCGAATGAGCACCACTGTTCCAACGACGATGACAGTCTCTTCCTTTGCTCCCCCAACGCCATCGCCCACACAGAACCATGGACCAGCTACTCCGCCTTCTTCACCTCAGCCAACAGAAACCCACCCTGCAATGCTGCAGGAAGCAACAAGGACACAGCGTGCCGGCTCGCCACTGCACTCCTACACAACCAATGGGAATGACACCGTGACAGAGTCTTCAGATGGCCTTTGGAATAACGATCAGACTCAGCTGTCCCCGGCACAGAGTCCACAGATGGCCACTCCTACTAAGGGAATCTGTGCTGGAGTCTGTATGCCTGTCTTGGTGCCTCTTGCTCTTTTGGGTGTCATCATTGCCAGAAAGTATTTCTTCAGAAATAAGATTTGACAACTAAGCTTTTCATTTAGGAGGCTTCAAATTAAAGCTTTGCAAAATGCAGTTAAAAAGGAAGTCCAAGCAGAAGACAGTGTCTATGTTGAGAATAACCTTTATGCCACCGACTCAGACCCAGTGGTGTTCTTCAGGAGCCTCTGCCCATGACTGCCCGTGACAGAACGGACATCAGCGTAGCAGACGTCATTTAGACTCTAAGACGGTTTTTCTATTGCAGTTTCATTTGGCTTTCCACCATGTCAGTGATAGCGGATAGAGTCACTCTCTAGCTCGAAACAGTGTGGAGTCAACCCTCATCATTAATGCAGTCCTAAGTTTGTGCTAAAGCTGGCTCAATCCTGATCACTGCAGAGTTCTGTCTCAAACATGAACACTTTAGAATTGTATGTTCTCTTTAGACCCCATAAATCCTATATCCATCAAAGAGAATAGTCAGTGGAAGCAAATGAACTTCTATCTCGGCCATCAAAGCTATCTGGAAGAGGGGAATCTTAAAAATCAGCAAATCCAATGTGAGACCTCATTTGGAAGCATTGTATGATTATCTCTTGTTTCTATATTATAGTTCCAAATGTTGCATTTATTAGGTTTTCCAAAGGTTTCAAATCATGCGGTACACAGGTTTTTATTTCCTCCATGGGTAAATAAAGTGAGTCTAACTCACTAAAAAAAAAAAAAAAAAAAAAGTTTGAGATTGGTACCATGAGTAGTCATGGCCACCTGCTGGCAGCGTAGGGTACTGCAGTCCAGCTACGGTTCAGACTGAAAGCAGAGAAACTCCTGTGGTCCAGGGAAAAAGATAGAAAGATCATATGAACTGGCAGGGGACTGACAATGCCACAGCCACGGTGCCCCTGGGACGCTGAGTGCTTACAACTCGGAATCAACAGCCTTTACAAAGAAAACTGATGCAAAAGCAACAGCTCTTAACAAATAAAACTGTCTCATTTGGACTCGTGGGCACCAAATGTTTTCATAAGGAAAACATCCATTCTGTGTTAAATACCAAGTGTACCTTACTGTTACTGCTCGTTCTGACTTTCAGTGGATTCCTTTAGGAGATTGCCACACCTCGACATCAACAAGTTTCATAACAGAATAATGCATTGACAGTTCCATAACAGAACAGAAAGCCTTCACTTTTCAGGAATATATTTTAGTTGGCTTGTTCAAACACCTCTTTTCCTGAAAGCAAGCAGTTTTTGAAGCGGATCAAGCTGCTCATCACATCCCTTTTATTCTCCACCATATGACAGTCCCTATGCCATCTTAGCCACTGCTTTTTTGTTTCTATTTATTTTCCACCCCCTCCCCCATAGCAAAATGAAGCAATGCCAGGAAACAGAAACTCATCATAAAGAGAGGAGCCTCTGAGCGCTCAGCTCACAAGACAGTTTTATTGAATTAGTTGCATGCAGGAGCAAGTCTTTTCTTCCCATGAGCAGCGGATATTAGAGTGCAGGATCCAGAGAAGGGAGAGGCTGGGCGAGGTTGGGGCCAGGAGGCTGGGGCCTGGTGACTTGGTGACATGCAGAGCTCTCTCTGGGGGGCTGCAGCTCATCTCAGGGGGAGCTGGACTCAGATGCCCCCGTGGGTGCAAAAGCAACATTCACCTCTCATTCCTCCCTGAAAGAAAAGAGTTACCACCAAAGTAAAGCATCCTCCAAAGGAAACATAAAAATCCTGGTGATTTCCTGGCTTTGTCTTGGGCTCTGGCTCCAGGCAGAGTCATTCCTACCAGGCGATAGAGTCGGCAGTTTTTGTGTTTTTTTTTTTGGCTACCAGAGACCCACAGGAGAGGCCCCCTGCTTACCGGTGCTTCTTGCGGTATTCCTGCAGCGCTTTCTCTGCCACAGTCTCCATGAATTTAGGGTTCTTCCTGGAAACTTCTACAGGGACCGTCACAGTGATGGGGTCAGAGTCAAAGAGCTTCACGACCACCTCAGTGACACCAGAAGGAACGTCCGAGTCAGAGGTGTGGGAAGCCACCTGGATGGAACAAAAGAGAAGAGCTGAAACGCTGTGCATGCGTTCTGCAGCAGAAGCTTCGGATGGGGAAGTCCTCCCGCTGCTCCGAGAAAACCTAGAGAGCCTACCCCAGCGCTTGCCACGCATCTAGACATCAGTACAGCTCAGTGGACAGAAGCGACCTGGTTCACAGACACTCGTGTGTTGAGGCAAATGCCATGCCATCTGCAAATGACCAGCCCGGGGAGCACCCCAGAGGATAAAAGTGGTTTCCAAACATTCATTCTGGGGAGCCATTGGTCAGACTAGAGCCAAAAAGGAATCCAAGGGGCTTGGAGGGAAGAAAGAAAAGAAAAAGAAGGGTTCCTAGTACTAGAAATAAGTTTTATTTTCTTTTTCATATTTTATTTTATTACCATATTATATTTTTTAGAGACAGAGTCTCCCTCTATTACCCAGGCTAGAGTGCAGTGGCCTGATTACAGCTCACTGCAGCCTCGACCTCTGGGCTCAGGCAGTCCTCCCACTTCAGCCTCCTGAATAGCTGGGACTACAAGTGTGTGCCACCACACCTGGCTGATGTTTGTATTTTTTTGTAGAGAGGGAGTCTTGTTATGTTGTCCAGGCTGCTCTAAACTGCCCTCAAGCAATCCTCTTGCCTCTGCCTCCCAAAGTGCTAGGATTATAGGCATGAGCCACTGTGTCTGGTCTAGAGAGAAAGTTTTTCTCACTGGTAGAGAATGATGTACCAATTCATAAGCCATTTTACACCAGAAGCAGCCACGTAGCTTTGAGAAAAGAACAGAGGCTTCTGGTTTATTCACGGGTTTGTGCACCAAAAGGAAAACAACAGCAACAACAGAATTGAGGCTTTGCTGCCAGGCATCGACACAGGCTGTGCCGCCAGGCGCCAATGCGGGCTTTGCTGCCAGGCATTCGGGGTCAAATGCCCATCCCAGTCAGCGGTCAGCTCTCACACCTTGGGCAAACTTCGGACCTCTTTTACTTTGCTCCTCGGTTATATTTTGGCTCGGTGGTGAGGCTTCAAGGCCACAAGCACACCTAAGGTTTTCTATTTCCTGCCACCTGATAAGTGCTCGGTCAGAGGCACATGTGCCCCTGCTCCCAGGCACAGCGCGGGCTCCCAACCGCAGCGTGTGGCCGGGACACAGCTTACCGTGGTGACCCGCAGATAGTACTGGTCTTCGCCTTGCGTGAGGTTTGCCAGGCGGGACACCCAGCTAAACTGCTCGTTGAGCTGCTCCAGCAGGGAGGAGGTGTTGAGCATCTTCCACTGGTAGGACTGCAGCAGCTCGTTGTACTTCCTGGTCAACATCTCGGCCATCTGGAGGGAGTCGTTGAGCTCCCGCCGCAGCTGAGCTTGGGAGGGGTTGTCAGCCGAACAGTCTGCCCGGAGATGGAAGAAACGAAAGGCAGAAGTGTGAAGGGAAGGGTACAGAGGGATAGAGCCATGAATGAATGGAGGTCCCACACGCAGCCGGGAGCGAAAGCAGTGCTCCCCTAAGGGAACAGCCACAAACTTTAGAATCATCCACAACCAAATAAAGGTTTTGCCTCAGAATGTGAATACGCTGCTTCTGTCATCCAAAAAGTCTTTTGGGGTTTTGTCTTTGTTGTTTGTTTGAGACAGAGTTTTGCTCTGTGGCCCAGGCTGGAGTGCAGTGGCGAGATCTTGGCTCACTGGAGCCTTTAATTCCCAGGCTCGGGCTATCCTCCATCCTCAGCCCCCTGAGTAGCTGGGACTGTAGGTACGTGCCATCACGCCCAGCTGATTTTTGTATTTTTTGTAGAGACGGGGTTTCTCCATGTTGCCCAGGCTGGTCTCAAACTCCTGGGCTCAACTGATCTGTTTGTGCTGGGATTACAGGTGTGAGCCATCATGCTCAGCCTGAAAAGCCTTGCTCCGGAAAAGTATGTCCACTGACCTAAACAGTGGTAACTGGTGACAGTGTTGACCACACTTCCGGAAGCACTGATCTCAAGTTCTCCATGCTCTCAGACCTAGAGTGGCTCTCACTGCCCTGGTCTCTCCCAGGAATCATTTCCAGAGAGGGGGAATATCACTCACAGCTGCCATTTATATGACATCTCCTGCATCCCAGACACTGCAGAAGGTGCTCTCTGGATATCCCTCTTCTCTAGGAATTGGATCTGTTCTGACTGAAGGATTAGCACTCTATTTCACCAATAATAAAACTGAGGCCCACAGAAGGATTAATAAATAGCTTACCTAAAGCCATAGAAGAAAAGATGTCTGGGCCGAGGATTGAACCAGGGTCTTCAGCTCCTAAGCTTGGGCTCTGGATAATCCTCCAAGCTTGTCTTTTTTTTTTTTTTTTTTTTTTTTTAAGACAGTTTTGCTCTTGTTGCCCAGACTGGAGTGCAATGGCACAACTTCGGCTCACTGCAACCTCTGCCTCCCAGGTTCAAGCAATTCTCCTGCCTCAGTCTCCAGAGTAGCTGGGATTTACAGGCACCTGCCACCACACCTGGCTAATTTTATGTATTTTTAGTAGAGATGGGCTTCACCATGTTGACCAGGCTGGTCTCAAACTCCTGACCTCAAGTGATCCACCCGCCTTGGCCTCCCAAAGTGCTGGAATTACAGGCACACACCACCATACCTGGCTGATTTTTTGTATTTTTAGTAGAGATGGGGTTTCACCATGTTAGCCAGGCTGGTCTTGAACTCCTGACCTCAGGTAATCTGCCCACCTCAGGCTCTCAGTGCTGGGATTACAGGCACGAGCCAATGTACCCGAGCCAAGCTTGTCTTTTGAGCATGTCTGCAGAGGTAGCAGTTCTGGTGCCAAGAGTTCATGCAGCTGACATGCTGGCACGTGGTAGCCAGGGGTCTTTGCTCACCCACCTGCCTGCCCATGGCTGGTCACTGAGTTCATCAGGAGAGCAGCAAAAGAGAATTCACTCCTCTTGGCCCTGGACTGCAGGTTGTCAGATTCATTAAGAGCTGGAAACTTCCCACTAGCTCTTAAAACTACTGTTTTTCTCCCCTTAAATTATTTCAGAAATATCCAGAGGTGGGTACATCAGACACAACTGGTCAGGGGAAGGGAGATTTTGCATATGCTTCAGGATGATGACTGCAATCATTTACAGTAAAATACAATGTTAGGTGGGGAAAGAAACACAATGACAAGATGCAGTTTGAAAATAAACATGTAATAAATAATCTTCACTAGTTTACCAAAAAGTAACTTAAAAACAAGAAAAATCAGCTGGGTGCATTGGCTCGCACCTGTAATCCCAGCACTGTGGGAGGCTGAGGCAGGAGGATCACTTGAGGTCAGGAGTTTGAGACCAACCTAGCCACCATGATGAAACCCCATCTCTACTAAAAATATAAAAATTGGCCAGGCGTAGTGGTGCACGTCTGTAATTCCAGCTACTCAGGAGGCTGAGGCAGGAGAATGGCTTGAACCTGGAAAGCAGAGGTTGCAATGAGCCGAGACCACACCACTGCACTCCAGACTGCGATAGAGCAAGACCCTGTCTTAAAAAAAAAAAAAATCCTTGGGTGTAGAGACTTAGTCTAGAATAGAGGTTCTCAACTGGGTGATGCTGTCACCCAGGGAGATTGGCCAGTTCTGAAGTTAGTTATCACAACAAAGAGGAGGAGCTACTGTCATCTAGTGCGTGGAGGCCAGGAATGCTGCTAAATACCCTGACATGCGCAGGGCAGCCCCCCACGACAAGCGATCACGTGGTCGGAAATGTCAGCACTGCTCACGCCTGTAATCCCAGCACTCTGGGAGGCCGAGGTAGGAGGGTCACTTGAGCCCAGGAGCTGGAGACCAGCCTGGGCAGCATAGCAAGACTCCCTCTCTACTAACAATAAAAGAATTAGCCGGGCATGGTGGTGCACGTCTGTGGTCTGTTACTTAGGAGGCTGAGGCAGGAGGATCGACTGAGTCTGGGAGGTCTAGGCTGCAGTGAGCGTGATGGTGCCACTGCACTCCAGGTAGGGTGACAGAGAGAAACTCTGTCTCAAAAAGAAAAAAAAAATGTTAATAGTGCTGAAATTGAGAAATCCTGGTTTAGAGCGCCCGGGCAGTACATGCTCATGTGGTTGCAAGTATCTCAAATAACAGTAGGCAGTCCTCATCAGTGGAGACCATTTACCTCAGCTGTTATCAATGACTGTCAAGATTGGCGCCAGGCCTGAGTCCAGGAGGTCGAGGCTGCAGCGAGCCATGATGGCGCCACTGCACCCCAGCCTGGGCGACAGAGAAAATGGGTGCCAGACATCCAATCTGGGCCGAGGCATCTGGCTGTCTTTTCTTCAGGCCCTAACGTGACTAACTTTCTTGCAGTGAAGTACCACGTAATTGATGCCACTCTGATATTTTTATAGAAAAAGCCCCAAGACTTGGTTGTGCCCTCATCTACACCCTGCAACTTCAGCCTTTAAAGCACTACTGTTTATTTTGCAGTGGCTTCTAAAATTACAGGAGTGAGGCTAGGACTGTTTAACTAGGCCCTGGCAGCCTGCCATGGCAAACTCAAACTAGGCATTAAGTAAGAGCAAAGCCACCAGATTGATAAGGGGAAACAATTTACAAGGGGAGACAATTAACTCTTTCTGAGCATGCACAGCTGTGTGCCAGGAACTAGTCCAAATACCATCACAGCTGTTATCTCAAAGCAGAAAGTTAACCCATAACCAGTGCCGATGAAACAGACAGGGACAGTTGAAGGGAAATATTCCCTTTGCCTAGGGGAGCAACCAGCCAACCGAAGGGACTACTGCCCAGATACCGAGACCTGTGACTTCTGTGGTCAGAGGCGTGAGGGGTCCCAGGAAAGAACACCGCACCCTGGTTAAGAACACTTCCCAAACACCTAGGAGTGAAGCCCAGCTCGCCTGCGTCTGGTCCATCTTGGATAAGTTCTTAACCTTTCTATGGCTTGGTTTCCTCAGAGGGTCATTCTGAGAAAATGAGGAAATATATGTCGAGTGTTTAGAACAGTGCTTGGCCTCTGGTAAGTTTTGTTAAACAAAATACATACTGTCTGCAATTTCATAATCTGCAGTGGAAAATGAAAGGCCTACTGTGCTTGGCACTTGGAAACAGAATCACCGGGAGTCCCAGGGGGATGACTTTTTCCATCATGGGCCCGACGAGGTAGAGGCCACTTGTACATCCCTAACGATGTCTCACTGACTTCAGGGAAAGCCTCGCATCTTCATCCCATTCTCAGATGAGGAACCCAAGCTGCATGAGGCTCAGGACCTGCCCTGGGCCACAGCTCAAAGTCCACAGAGCTGGAATCCAAACGCTCATCTGTCTGACCCCATAAAGGTACACCAATGAGGCACCGGTGACCCCAGGACATGAGTGATTGGAGGGGACAGCTTGTGGTCTGAACCGCGACTCACCCACAGACAAGATCTCGCGGCACTTGTCACACTGGTCCTTCATCCGCAGGCAGCCTGTGGAGTTGTGGCGGATCTCCCTGCACACGGCTCGGTCATCGTCACCTTCTGGGGACACACAAGGGAAAAAGAGTCAGGCATCCAGCCAAGCAGAGATGGACCCCACTGATTCCTACTGTTATTTTTATTTATTTATTTATTTTAGAGATAGGGTCTCGCTCTGTTGCCCAGGCTGGAATGCAGTGGTGCGATCATAGCTTACTGCAGCCTCCAGCTTCTAGGCTCAAGTGACTCTCCTGCCTCAGCCTCTAGAGTAGCTGGGACCACAGGTGTGCACTACCACACCCAGCTAATTTTTTAAGTTTTTATTTTTGTAGAGACAGGGTCTCACTATGTCGGCCAGGCTGGTCTCCAACTCCTGGCCTCAAGTGATCCTCCCACCTTGGCCTCCCAAAGTGCTGGTATCACGGGCATGAAGCCACCATGCCCAGCTCTGTTTTTTTCCTCTTTAAATAAGAATAACATCACCCTCGTGATATTGCTGGAGAAAAATCAAGATGACACTCTCTGGGCCCTCAGCCTGGTTCTCAGCATCTAACGGGTTACTCAAAAGGCTGTGAGCTTCCACCCCTTCTCACCTTGTATGGATTCCGGGAACTGGTGCTGGAAGGCTGGGCTGTGGAAGGGGACGTCCATGGCCTGCTGAGCCTCGTGTATCATCTCAAGGAAGGGCTGGAACATGGCGTGGAAGTTCAGGGGCTCGAATGGAGAGAAGGGCATCAAGCTGCGGACGATGCGGGACTTGGGAAAGAAGAAGTGAGGCCTCCGGTGGTGCAGGCTGAAGGGCAGGTAGTGGTAGGTGTCCTGGGGCTCCCGGGCGAAGAACCGGTCCTGGAAGAGCTCGTCCATGATGCTGGAGGCACGGCTGAAGCGGTCCTGCATGATGTCCAGCATGTGCGTCTGCTGCCGGTCGTTCTCCAGCAGCGAGTCGATGCGGTCACCATTCATCCAAAAATAGAAGGGCGAGCTCTGGTTCAGGAACTCCTCGAGCTGCGACAGCCGGCAGGGGCACAGTTAGGAGAAGCTCACCAAGGCCACAGCCTCCTGGTCTCCCACCCCTCCGTGAGCGAGGCCAGGCCCTGCCCATCGTGGTAACGGTCACACAGCACATGACCAACAGCCCAGCTGGGACTGGCCCCCAGCACCCCAACTGTCAGGTCCACGCCCTTCCTTCTACCTCCCTCCATGGAGGACCGTTTCGAGACACCTGGGAGGCCATGAGAGTCACAAGGCCCAACATTTCAGATTCTTCCACTATCATCTTTGGCCACCAATGATACCCACCCCTGCTCAGCTAAGGGCCAACTGGTATGACTTCAAGGATTAGAAGAACTCACTGAGTCCCAATCAAAAAAGCCCCACAGTGGAGGACAGAAGCAATACTAAGGTACTAAAAAATCTTACATTGGCTGGGCGTGGTGGCTCATGCCTGTAATCCCGGCACTTCAGGAGGCCGAAGCGGGCAGATCTCCTGAGGTCCGAAGTTCAAGACCAGTCTGGCCAACATGGCGAAACCCCATCTCTACTAAAAATGCAAAAATTAGCCGGGCGTAGTGCTGTGCACCTGTAGTCCCAGCTACTCGGGAGGCTGGGGCAGGAGAATCACTTGAACCCAGGAGACGGAGGTTGCGGTGAGCCGAGATTGCGCCATTGCACCCCAGCCTGAGCAACAGGAGCAAAACTCCATCTCAAAAACAAAAACAAAGAAAATCCTTACATTGGCTGAGCACAGTGGTGCACACCTGTAATTCCAATAATTCAGGAGGCCAAGGTAGGAGGATCACTTGAGTTTAGGAGTTTGAGACCAGCTTGGACAACATTGCAAAATCTCATGTTATAGAAAAATACAAAAATTAGCTGGGCATGGTGGCACGTGCCTATAGTCCCAGATACTTGGGAGGCTGAGGTGGGAGGATCGCCTGAATGCAGGAGGTCGAAGCTGCAGTGAACCATGATCACACCACTGCACTCCAGCCTGAGTGACAGAGTGAAACGCTATCTCAAAAAAAATATTCTTAAATCCTTCCACGTAAGTGGACACAGAGGTCTGCCATCCCATGGAGCGGTTTGTTATGTCATCCAGCTAAGCGCTGCTGTGTAAGAGTCTTCTAAGAGAAGGCAGATACCTGACTTACTTCCATTTGATGACTCCACTGTCTGCACTCCTGCTAGACATTACTAACGGAGCATGGCACTCTGGGCCCCATGAAGCCAGCCAGTACTAGTCAGCTGCGTCTGGCATGTGGAATGAAGCATATGTCACTAGGTTCCCTGCCTTCCCTACTCAGAGCTTTGGCTGCTCATGTGTCCCCTTTTCACCTGGCGGCCAACCAGGCCTGAGCCACTTCTGCAGACGCGTGCGTAGAACTTCATGCAGGTCTGTTTCAGGCAGGGCTTACACTCTCCCCAGAGGGCCGTCATGGTGTCATTGCACACTCCTGGAAACTCCTTCAGCTTTGTTTCTGATTCCCTGGTCTCATTTAGGGCATCCTACAGGAAGACACAAGGCTGGCTGAGCCACACAGAGACCACAGACTCACACACCCAAGGAGGTGCTGGGTGCCAGGCCCTCTGCCCCAGGGCAGGCCCTCTCACAGGCTGTCCACCCAGCGAGCAAGTGCCCACCCCTGCTCCGGCTCAGGCTTCCCCTCGTTCACGCACCGGAATCCCCTTCCCACCTGGCTTTAAGAATCCACCCATCCTTCAAGATCCAACTGTTCCCTAACTCCTGGAAGTTTCCCAACTCCTGGAACCCATGTGGATTCCACCTCTCTCTGACCTGGTGCGCTGATCAACTACTCGATGACTAACCTCTCACTGAAACCTAAATTTCTATTCTCTGCTTCTGGTGTTCGAATGTCATCTTCCAAAGCAGGCTGCAGGATCCCTGAATCTTGTCTTTCTATTGCAACCATGACCCCTGGCATGCAAAGGGATCGGCAGGCTTTCAACACCAAAGCCACACCAGCTATCAAAACTCTCTAATGGGCCCATGCCACTTGACCCAGTGATTCCCTAAGAATCTGTCTCAGGCTAGGCATGGTGGCTCGCACCTGTAATCCCAACACTGGGAGGCCGAGGCAGGCAGATTACTTGAGGTCAGGAGCTCGAGACCAGCCTGGCCAACATGGTGAAACCGTGTCTCTACCAAAAATACAAAAATTAGCTGGGTGTGGTGGTGCATGTCTGTACTCCCAGCTACTTGGGAGGCTGAAGCAGGAGAATCACTTGAACCTGGCAGGCAGAAGGTTGCAGTGAGCCGAGATCGAACCACAGCACTCCAGCCTCGGTGACAGAGCAAGACTCTGTCTCAGAAAAAAAAAAAAAACAATAACAAAAAAGACTCTATCTCAAAGGAATCTCCTGACAAAGAAAAAGATGCCTAAAAATATTTGTTACAGTATGAATTTATGGCAAAAAAGTAATTCAGAATCAACCCAGATGTTTAAAAGTGAGAGACAGGTTAGACAAGCTGTGGTTCATACACAGGATACATGGTACATCATTATAAAGGATGTTTATAATCGATTTCGAATATTATTATATGTACCATTTGTGTTAAAAATTCATAATTTTGAATATAGCCACTGTCAAAAAAGCAGAAGAAAAGAGTAGGAAGGAATAGATCAAATGTTAACAGTGATTTGTCCCTGGGCAAAAGGATTACGGAGAAACGTTCCCTCTTCTACTTTTCTATATTGAAGTCTCTATGAATGAGTGTTAGTCTTCAAAAAAATAAAAAAATTAGACTATCCACACCCCAGAGTTACTCGAGGTCTTTGTCCTACTCTATCACCCCCTGTCCCTTGCTGGGGATGGACAACCCACCTCCCACTGAGCAAGATGCAAGTGCCACCCATGGTGCCTACTCCCTTTCCTTCTGGTTCACCTACTTCTCAACTAAGAAGGAGCAGGCTCTTTTCTCCAAATTTGATGTGCGTTATGAAACCAGAATTGTTGAATGTCAAACTCCAATGATAACCGCAAAAATGTGAGAACAGAACGTGCCCTTCCCCAGGAGCTATGTGAGGATTCTTATAGAATGGTGAGAACTGATACTGGTGCCAAGTAAGGGCATGAAGCTTGAAGAAAAGTTAGAGCCGCATCCGGGCCAACATTCCCTGAAGTGGCTCCCATGGAACTGTGCTCAACGCTGCCAGGAAGAAAAAAAGAAATTCCCTGGTCAATCCGGAAAACTGGGTTTCCTGGAGTTATACGGGTTTCTTTATTGCAGAACTTCTCAGAGCCTTTGAACTGCTTTTAACGTGCGTGATGGATCATGAACCTGGCAGGTAGCTACATCTTTGCATCTGAATTAGAGCGGCCACGAGAGTAGGTTTTTAGGATAATCTTTGGGAACTTGATTTCTTAAATAAGTTGTTCATTGAATTAAAGTGTTTTAGCTTTGTCGAATCACTAAGTGCAGGCTAGACCTGCTATATCACTACTGGCCTTAAGCTGTTTCTTTATGAAGGAGTCAAGAGCTCTGGGAAGATGTAGGGTGCAGAGTGTGTGCCTGCCTTAACCCGAACCGCATCACCCCTACTAGACAAGCTTCCTGAGGGTTGGACACCACCCCACTCCGGGCCCCTGCTGCCACCCAAACCAGAGCCTGCTTGGAGCCAGCACGTGGTCAGGGTTTAGAAACATCTATTGAAATGAATCTGGGCATTAGGCCCTGAGCCAGGCTCATAAGAAATCCAGATCCAAGACCTCACCCCCTGATGCTTTCAAACTCCAATAAACCTTCCCTCCTTCTTAACTTCGGCATCAGCTGACACAGCCTGGGAGGACTGTGGGTCACCATGGCAACCCAGCAAGGCACCGTGCTGTGACCCCCTCCCTCCTCCCCTCCCTCTGGTGGGATGGTCAAGGCTGGGCAGCCTTCTCGGCTCCTGACCTCTTTCTTCTTCTTGGCTTCCTCTAGGTTGCTAAGCAGTGTCTTGCGCTCTTCATTTGTTTTTTCTATGAGAGTCTTGATCTCTTTCACTCCGTTGACAGCATTTTGAATTTCCTTATTGACATATTTACTTCCCTGATCGGACATTTCTGCAAGAGAAGCGCAAGAGGTAGCATGAGGTGAGAGGAAGGGATGGCCTCGGGATATAACCCTGGAGTGAGCAGGAATGGCCAGAGAGGCCCGTTCAGTTAAGGGGCTGTCAAGGCTGGGATCCCCACCCCCCCCCGCAGACAGCAGCACAGTCCCAGCCTTGACCTACACAGGCTCCCATCACAGGCCCCTTGCTCTCACTGCTCAGATTTGCAAACCATGGGAGCCGGTACACCCCGGGGGAAACGGCAGAGCTGTGCCCAGCCACTGCCATGTGCCCCTGGAGAATGAGCCGGGTGCAGAAGAAACTTGTCAAGGAAAAATATTTTTTAAAAACCCAGAAGTGGTCAGCTTTGAAGTATCAAAATATAAAATATTGTTATTTTGGACACAAGTCTTTCTAGAGTTCAGTTTAACCAGATGTGTATTTCTTTTTTCCAATGCACAGTGCCAGGTGACAGAAATAAGATGAGGAAATGACTAAGGCATAGCACTGGTGACAGATGCAGAGAAACACTGTGTCCCCTAAGTGCCACTTCACTGGTGCTTATCCCATGCCGAGCACTGCACCAAACACTTCATGTGCAGTTTACAGAATGCTCCAGCCCCACTACCATGCCCACTTTGCAGAGGGGGACATGGGAAGTGTGGTACGATAGAGGGTCCAAGTGTCAGTCAGGCAGGAGGAGTAGGTCCTGGAGGTCTATCATACAGGTGGTGCTTGTACTTAATAACACCATACTGTACCGGGAAGTTCGCTGAGAGTAGATTTTAAGCGTTCCTACCGCCCCACTGTAAAAGTAGTCATCATTTCCATGTATGTACATTTCAAGACATCATGTCATATACCTTAAATATACACAATTTTTATTTGTTCATTATCTCAATAAAACAGGGGTTGGGGAACGTGTCATGAGATCAAGAGAGTGACTCAGAGTCACCCAACTGAGAAGAAGTGGAACAGACTCACACCCAGGTCTGACTTGGGGTTTTTTTGTTTTGTTTTGTTTTGTTTTTGAGACAGAGACTCGCTCTGTCACCCAGGCTGGAGTGCAGTGGTGAGATCTCGGCTCACTGAGACCTCTGCCTCCTGGGTTTAAGCAATTCTCCTGCCTCAGCCTCCGGAGTAGCTGAGACTACAGGTGTCTGCCACCATGCCCAGCTAATTTTTGTAGTTTTAGTAGAGACAGGGTTTCACCATGTTGGCCAGCATGGTCTTGATCTTTTGACCTTGTGATTCTCCCACCTCGGCCTCCCAAAGTGCTGGGATTACAGGCTTGAGCCACTGAGCCTGGCCTGATCGGGGTTTTTAACAATGATCCTGCAGAAGCGGTCAGCTCCCAGGAGGGACAAACTCCAAACGGGAGAGGGATAAGAGCTCCAACGGTCCAGACACAGCTTCATGGAGGAGGCTTGGGAGCTGGGCCAAGGGGCCTGGGAAGGGAGCAGCTGAATGAAATGCAGCAGCCAGAACGGGCTTGGGAATTGCCTGCAAATGCCGACAGCCTGATGCCCACAGAGGCCTGGGAGCTGAGGCTCGGAGGGGGTCCAGACACAGACACCCAGATCCAGTGCACTAGATCAAATGGTCTGTAACACTCGGGGCGTGATAGAGAGGCCCTGAGTGGAGTCGGCAGCCCTGCGCTCTGACCTCACCACCCTGTGGAACATCATACTTGGTCTACTCACCCTGGAGCTCATTGTCGGAGACCGACTGGTCCCCCAGGACCTGCCCACTCTCCCAGGTCAGCAGCAGCCCCACAAACAGCAGCAGAGTCTTCATCATGCCTCTGATTCTGAGTCCTCGCACGCCTCTGTTTGCAGGAAACAGGAGACCGTCATGGGAACAGCTAGACAGCCTGCTGGCATCCTGCCCACCTGCCGCCTGCAGCAGCTCCCCAGGGTTTCACCGCCCTCGCTGTCCCCCCAGCTAGCACTGCTGCACTTTTATCCCTGAGGAAACAGGGGGAAAGGACCAGACTTGCCATGGATACCTCAAAAGAAAGCGATGGCAGGAAGTGCAAGGAGGGAGGGACCGCAGGACAGCAGCATCCAGTGGAGGAAACAAGAACCCTGGCATCAGAGGAGCCGGGCTATTTTCCAAGCCACATCCTCCCCTGCAATCATTGAGGCACACAGGCTTTCTGCATCCCGGCCTCCTTGTCCAGAGTGGCGTCGATCATGTCACACACTGAAAATATCTCCCTTGGGTCACGTATCCGTCCCTCCGCATGCCACCTCCACAGAGGGACTGCATCCCAGAGACCAGCCCCGTCCTCTGTGATGTGCCTCCATATCTTCCCCCAGCAGACACCCCCCCCATCCACCACAGCGCCGCAGCCCCCCGGAAGTCTCAACACTACCTGAACTTGATTTTCTTTGTTTTTCTGTCTCTCTCTCTTTTTTTTTTAAGAGACCAGGTTTCACTGTGTTAGCCAGGATGGTCTCCATCTCCTGACCTCGTGATCCGCCCACCTTGGCCTCCGAAAGTGCTGGGATTACAGGCATGAGCCACCGCACCCGGCCCACAAACTTGATTTTCAAGAGCCGGAGGCAGCAGCAGCTGCCCTCACACCGAATCCATCTGCATCCCTAGTGGGAGCTTTGGGCTGGGCTGCCTGTGCATTCAGGGGTAGAAGTAGTGGAAGCCAGGAAGGACAATTCCCTTCTAAGAGTACAGAGGGTTCACAGTGGCCCAAGGAGTAGGCTTCCCAGAGAAAGTCCTTTTGGAAGGATGAGTCCCTTTGCTCTGCCAGGCCCTCCACACGGCCCATCCCTCTAAGCCTACAGCAGGCTGCCCTGCCAGTGTTCCTGCCACCACTGGGCTGGCTACCCTGAGCCAAGGGGCACAGGCCACAACCCTGGTCTTACACAATGGACCCTTTCCCAGAAGCTGAGGCTGTTGCATAAAACAGAAACCCCTCCCCCTGTACCCTCTCCATCATCGCCCCTCCCAGAAACTGCTTATCTGAGCTCACTCATTTCCCATAACAGAACCAACAGGAAGGTGGGGTTCCCCTTCCTGAAATGGTTCACATCCAAAGCCAGCACAGCCCAACAGGCCCATCTGGACACTCGGTAGGACATTAATAAGGAGCACCTTTCATGAGAAGTAATCAGGCGCGCAGAGCCAGGGGGCAGCGTGGGAGAAGATATGGGTCAGCGCCTTCCCCAGAGACAGGGTGGGTGGCAGAGACCAGGATCACCAGGAAGGCTCTGGTCTCATGGGCTGTGCCCCAGCTGCCCACTGAGCCCTGAAATGCCTCCAGCAGGAGCCTTTGTCATGCCAGAGACACAAAAGCAGCCAGAAACACCCCTCTGCCAGGCGCCCCTGAAAGCAACAACTTCTGGAAAAAACCATTCAGACCTAGGTTCTGACCAGAAGACAGGGTGTTGGGCCCTGAAGAACAGGGTAGCCAAAGGCAAGATGCAGGAAAGTTCCAGACTCAGCAGCGGGCACAGAGTCTGCTCCAGACAGCCTGGGGTCCCTGGTGAGCCATCCAGCTCAGAGCTGGGAAGGGAGTCGTTCTCTCACCCAACCCATCTACCTTAGTGGGGAGGCTGAAGCCCATAGATGGCACAGGGCTCCCCATAGCCCACAGCATGCTTGTGGTAACCCCAGGATAAGAGCCCAGCCCTCCCAACCCCCACAGCCCAGTGTTCTTTGCTTGCTTCCAAGTCACTTAAATATCTGAACCTCAGTTTCTTCGCCTGTAAAATGGATCTAATCCAGACCTCAGAGAGGGGAACGCATTCTGTAAACACTAGGGTCTTATGTAATGATAGTAAATCCCGACTGCTTCAAAATTAGTCTGAGGGCTGAGGCTTGGCATTGGCAGTGTCTAACCAACATGTCTAAAGAGGGGCAGGGAAACCAAGGCAGGCACACAGAGGCCACCTGTGGTCCCCCGGACTGTGTGGCTCTGCTTTGATGAAATGATTGACCACTTTTTAAAGTACTTATGAATCACTGCAGGCTGGTTATAATGTTAGTTCTGAGTCTGAATCTGCTTTTCCAGCCAGTCTGCAGGTGATATGGATGCTGCTGATCTGAGGAATGTTCTAGAACCATGGCTGCACAGCCGACCTCCCTTCCTTTGCTCGGACTCATCTCCCCACTCATCTCCTCTGCCTCCTGGGAGCCTGGCTGCCAGCTGCCCTGGGCGGAGGAGCCAGGCCAAGGCCAACGCACTAGCACGCAGCCTCATTCCCCAAGAAGGCTGAAACCACCCGACCTGGCTCCTTCTACCAGAAAAGGCCGGTTCTGCGGACAGAGGGGCTGTGCTGGGGAAGAGGAGGAGGAGGTAGGGTTGGGACCACGCTAACTTTAAGAGCAACTCTGTTCCAAGCACACCCTCCTGGGAGCTTTGAACTGAGCAGCTTCCCAAAAGGTTTCCAAGCAGGGCAGGTCTGGAGGCTTACGAAAATCAATGACATAGCCATGCGCCATCACGCCTGTAATCCCAGCACTTTGGGAGGCCGAGGCGGATGGATTACTTGAAGTTAGGAGTTTGAGACCAGCCTGGGCAAGGTGGTGAAACCCCGTCTCTACTATAAATACAAAAATTAGCCAGGTGTGGCGGCGTGCGCCTGTAGTCCCAGCTACTTGGGAGGCTGAGGCACGAGAACCACTTGAACCCAGATGGCTGGTGGAGGTTTCAGTGAGCAGAGATCATGCTACTGCACTCCAGCCTGGGTGACAGAGTGCGACTTAGTCTCAGAAAAAAAAAAGAAAAGAAAGAAAATCAATGACTGTGCACCGCGAGCTGTGGGGAGGACAGGAAGACAAGCTAAGAGGGCCCAGCTGGTGAGAGCTTCAAGCCCAAAGCCCCGCTCCCATCTGCCTTTTCAAATGGAGGAAACTAAACCAAAAAGAACATCAGAAAAATAGTCAGTCGCCTGTAATTCATAGCACCCGAGGCAGGTGTTAGCACTGTGGTCTGTTTCCTTCTGTCTTCTATGCAGTTTATACAACCAGATCCTTCACATTCACTATCTTCAAATATTATTTAAAAGCACACTTTCGTGGCTATGTAATGCTCCACTTTCTCATGGACCCAATGCCCAATCTTTACTATTCTCACAAAGATCGGGCATTTCAGTTGTGTCTAATGCCCCACTACTATTATAACTTACGTTCTCATGGGCATCTTTTTTTTATACTATCTGTACTTACCTTAAATTCCTAACTTCTCCCTTAAAAAAAAAGTCAGCTTTTTTTTTTTTTTAATCTAGGTCCGGAAATTCTGGAAGGTCAAGAGGCTTTTTGGCTCTAATCCCGATTCTGATACTTATTTGCTGTTTAGTGTTGGCACCAGTCCTAAACCTCATTATCATCTGTAAGATGAGACCGTGGAATCGGAGATGGGAGGCCTGGGGGAGCTTGTGTGACTTAGGATTTCGGTGGTTGCAGCATATACTTAAATCCACAGCCTCATACTTACAGGCACAGGGTCCAGAGAGCTAGAGAATTTACAAGAAAACTGGATGACTCATGCATGCAAGCTGACAGCCACAACTGAGAGATCCGCATCTTGCATCTTCGCAGGGGACACGCTGCAGGAAGGAGCTCCGTACAGGCCAGCTCCGTCACCTGCTAGCCTGGGCCTCCCGCAACGCGGCAGGTCTCCAGGCCTCAGTTTCTCCATATTTGCGAAAGGATGATCATTATATCTGCTCCATTTACCCCCACCCCCCGCGCCCCAGAATTGTGGTTGGAGCTCCTACGCTCAGGCGGCGAGTGCGCTGGGCCCCTGGCTCAGCTGCCTGGTGACGGGGCTCCGGCCACCTCCCCTCCCTTGCTTCCTGGGCTCCATTGAAAGCCCAAGCGTTGTGACTGCGAGCTGTGTCATCTCTCCCTGCCTGGCTGCCACCCCCTGCCCACCCATCGTCCCGGTGTGGTCTGCGCAAGGGTAGGGAAGACGGGGGACATCTCACCGGTCAGCGGCACCCGGCGCCCGAGCACTCCTTCTGGCGACGCCGCGTGGTGAGCACCGGGAGGCGCCGTATTTATATTGCTGGGCTCGCACACACCCCCTTGGGGGCTGGCTGCAAACCTGTATGACTCACGCCCAAAGAATGCCGCGGAATGCAAGGGGAGCTTTCTGGAAGCCGGGTGGTGGGGGCTGGTGCAGCACCCGGCTAGAGGCGCCGGGGGGCGCATCGTCACCGCGAATGGCTATGCTGGCTCCAGGGGGGACCCTGGGATGAGGCCTTTCAGCGCCCCCCAACCTGGATACGGCCCCCCCAGGAGGGAAGAGCCTGAACTCGCGTGTCCCGCTGGGCGCCCCTCTCACGCGGTTAGCCCGGCCCTCTGTCCTAATCCAAAACGCAATTTCATGACCTCACAGTTCCCTGGGCTTATTGGCCAATTTAAATAGCAAAGAGTCAGACGTAATGAGGGTGGGTTGGAGAGGGTCCTGGTGCTGTAGAAGAGAGCACAGGAATTCTTGAAACGCCGACTCCTGGAAGCATCACTCTGGCCTAGGGTCCCTGGACTTACCCGCCGGGCCTGAAGGAAACAGAATTGTGTTTAGGAGTGATCAGAGCAGAAATTCGAGGAGCCAGAAGGCCTCTCGGGGCTCTCCATACACAGAGCTTAAGCAATTACTGTCCCCATCCTCTTGGAACCCAGCCAAGTAGGGTGGGCTCCATGGGTGTGGGACCCCTGCAGATCCACGTTTGGTTTAATGGGCCACTGTGACAGTCTTGAAATTCTTCATAGTTTTTGAACCAGAGACACTGCATTTTTATTCTGCACTGAGCCTTGCCAATTAGGGAGTCAGATCTGTGTCCAGAGGGGTTCTCTGTTCTCCTGCTGCCGGAGTTCCTTCTGCTGAGGGCAGGGAGCGCCTCCCATCACAGCCACCCAACCCCTGGCAGGGAGGGGGAAATCCGGGAACCCTGGAGGTGCAGCTACTTCTTGGGGATGAAACTGAGCTGCCCATTTAGGAGCCAGGGATGTTTGAGCCACAGGAGAGAAGTCCAGGGCTGACAGTTGGGGTGATAGGTGGACGGGGCAGGTAGAGGCGGCCCCATTGCGGGTGGCAGACTTTGAAAACCATGTGAAACAAAGGGGCCTAAAGGAGAACTGCAAGGTCAGGGGCTGCGTTTTCCATTCGGGATCAGGACTATGGAGGCACAGCCTGGAGGCCCAGTCCCTTGCTTGCCCAATGTCCCAAGGCCACTAAGACCCCAGCCCTTTTCAGGTGGCATCCTGGGGGAATCTTCTAAGCCCATGAAGAAGTGGGAGAACTCGGTCTAGGTGCATGAAAATCTGACTACAGTCCTAGGTGTGCCCCAGGGCATTGGGTGACCTTGGACCAATCGCTTCACCCTGGGGCCTGTGTTTCTTCCATCTGGACAATGAGGAATGGAGAATGGATCATCTCCATGACTCCCTGCAACCTAACCCAGTACCACGCCAAGTATAAGAAGGTCATCAGACCAGAAGAAAAAAAATGCCCCAGAAGAGGCTTCACTTTATTTTCCCTTAAAAAAAAAAAGTCTAATTATCGGTAACAGCTACAGTTTCTGTGGACAGTGCCACCTCCTTATCAAGGCCGGAGGTTAGAACTGTTTTCGAGCCCGCTCCTTGTAACATTTGTGTGCTGCAGCTCCCCCAGCATCCGGAACAGGAGGCATACATCTAGTCATATTTTTAACAATTGGACTTTGGAGGTCAGTGACATCTGCCTCAGTCAGCTGAATTAGGGGAAGGGAGGAGAGGAAGAACGGAACTGGGAGAAAGGAGGCTGATTCACAGCCATCACTGTGATGCCCTGGGAATAATTACCTGATTACCCCCACTACTAAACAAACAAGGTGCCGAAGATCGAACTTCGAGAAAAAAAAATGTGAATTTTGAAAGTGTCATAAATGCATCACCGATCATAAGTAGATCTAAGTAGATCATAGAGGTCGATTGGTTCAGGCCTTGCACACTACTTGATTCCTACCCCACCCCCAATGTCTGCGCCAGGTGGTCATCCTGCCCGTGTTTGAATGCCCCCAGTAACAGGGAGCTCACTGCCTTCCATGTGATCCCGTAAAGCCGTTGATAAAGTTAGGGGTCTATTTGGTTGATTCACAGTCTGGATCCTGTATGGGCCAATCCTGAGCCCAGCTCTGCTCTCTGGAGCCACACGGGGAAAATCCAGCCTGTCTCTCCCGTAGTGCCCCTTCTGATATTTGAGGGCACCTTAATCTGCTTTTCCCAGTGACCTGCAAGCTGTAGCTCCTTTCCTTGCCATGGTTTGCAGACTTTTCCCAGGCCTCTGACATTCTGGACTTCATCTCTCTTGAAACTCTTGGCCCAGCCCTGAGCCAGCCAATGCCAGTGGGGAGTCCTGGGCCAGCCAATGCCAGAGGGGCCTGAGCAAACAAAGCAGAGCAGGACCACCCCTTCCCTTGCCCTAAACACTCCGAACAAGCTTTATCAGATGCTGAGTCACCGCACTGATTCATACAGAATGCATCATCTTGGCAGGTGCTGCCGTTTGATCCTGTCGCCCATCAGGACTTACACAGCTGGGTCTGGGGCTTTAGCTTGATTTCTTTTCTTGGAGAGTCGGGGCCATGGGGAGGGGCAGGGAGGGGGTGAGTAAAGATCCTTGTGTGTATCTATTTATCTCTTTCTGCATGATGCACCATCTCTGTCTGCCCAGATGTCTTTGGGGCTGCTTCGCTATGCAGTGTCCTTATTACAGAACCCCAACCAACTTTTGGCTCAGCACCACCAGCAGAGCAGCTCAGCCACCAGTTTGATACAGCAGGAACAAACTAGGAATGGGCAAGAGCATTATCCTGTGGCCTGGGATTAAGAGCCACTCTCGGTTGGGCATGGTGGCTCACATCTGTAATCCCAGCACTTTGGGAGGCTGCAGTGGGAGGATCGCTTGAGCCCAGGAGTTCAAGACCGGCCAGGGCAATGTAGTGAGACCCTGCTTCTACAAAAAAAAAAAAAAAAAAAAAAAAAAAAAAAACAACCTACTCAAGCATTGTGGTGCATGCCTGCAATCTCAGCTACTCAGGAAGCTGAGATGGAGGATTGCTTGAGCCCAGGAGGTCAAGGCTGCAGTGAGCTATGATCACACCACTGCACTCCAGCCTGGGCAACAAAGAGATCCTGTCTCTCAAAAATAAGAGAATCACTCTCCAAAGAGAGCGGAGAGGGAGAGTGGTGGTGAGAGGTTGGCCAAATGGCACACAGTTAAAGTCAGAAAGGAGGGATAAATTCCGGTGTTGTATTGCACCGTAGAGTTGATGACAGCTAACAATAATGTATTGTGTATTTCTTTTTATTTAGCTTTTATTTTAGGTTCAGGGGTACACGTGCAGGTTGTTATAGAGGTAAACTTGTGTCACGAGGGTGTGTTGTATAGATTATTTCCTCACCCAGCTACTAAGCCTAGTACCCAATAGGTATTTCTTCTGATTCTCCTCCTCCTCCCACTCTCCACCCTTATCTAGACCCAAGTATCTATTGCTCCCCTCCATATGTCCATGTGTTCTCATCATTCGGCTCCCACTTAAAGTGTGAACATACAGAATTTTGTTTTCTGTTCCCATGTTACTTCACTTAGAATAATATCCTCCAGCTCCATCCATGTTCCTGCCAAAGACATTATCTCGTTCTTTTTTATGGCTGCATGGTATTCCCTGGTGTATATGTACCACATTTTCCTTATCCAATCTACCATTGATGGGCATTTAGGTTGATTCCATGTCTTTGCTATTGAGAAGAGCACTGCAATGAACATAAGCGTGCATGTGTCTTTATGGCAGAATGATTTATATTCCCATATATACCCAGTAATGAGGTTGCTGGATCAAATGGTAATTCTGTTTTTAGCTCTTTGAGGAATTACCACACGACTTTCCAAAATGGTTGAACTAATTTACACTCACACCCACAGTGTATAAGCATTCACTTTTATCCACAACCTCACCAGACCTGTTATTTTTTGAATGTATTGTGTATTTCAACATAGGTAAAAGAGAGAACTTACAATGTTTTCACCACAAAGAAATGAGAAATGTTTGATGTGGATTTGCTAATTACCCTAATTTGATTATTACACAATGTGTACATGTATCAAAACATCACATTGTACCCTACAAATATGTACTGTTATCATGTGTCTATTTTAATTTTTTAAAAACTTAGTAAAAAAGAATCACTTTCAGGCAGTAATTATTTAATGAGTATATACCTTTATTTAGTCAATTACAGGCCCATGATAAAATGGTGGCTAATAAAATCATAATAAAAGCAGCCCACAGATGATACAGGGGTATTCTGAGTGATTTTTTCTGGACCTCCATAAAGTTCAGAAGCATTCACTCCATCAGTGGGTGTCACTCATCTTCCCTTTCAGGATCTTCTTGGGGAAAGGCCTGAGGCCAGCCAACCCGGAACTGCTTAGCGCGCGCCTACAAGTAGACAAATGTTGCTTACCATCTTCACTGTCCTTCATGTTACTGACTGGCTATGTGGTCTGTGTTTCGCTCCAGAGTTGCCTCACTGCGACCTTTACCTCCAATTATTAGGTGAATGAGCCCTTTAAAAACGGTGCCAGATCCACCTCAACTCAAACCTAATTTTTCCACAACCACCCAGACAGCAACTAAGAATTATTTTAGGTCAATGGTTCTCAGTGGAACTACACAATGGCTATTCGGTGGGATCACCTGGGAGCTTCAAAAATGATCAGTGCTTGAGTCTCACCTCCAGAGGTTATGACTGAATTAATTGGGGGTGCAGCCGGAGCATCAGGATTTTAAAACTCTCCAAGTCATTTTAATGAGGACCTAAAGTCGAGGACCACTTCTGAACATACTCCATCTGCTCCTCACTGCACTTCTGTCATTATTAGAGCATATGTTATTGTTCTCATTTTATACAAAATGGAAGGGGTGCAAAGGAATCTTAGCAGGGTTTGATTTACACTGACCTACAGTCTGCCTCCTTATAATTTCTTTTTTTTTGTTTTGTTTTAATGACATAGCTTTTTAAAAAATATTATTTATTTATTTTTGAGACAGGGTCTCACTCTGTCACCCAGGCTGGAGTGCAGTGGCGTAATCATGGCTCACTGCAGCCTCAACCTCCCTAGCTCAAGCAATCCTTGTATCTCAGCCTTCCAAGTAGCTGAGTCTATAGGTGCATGCCATCATGCCCCATTCATTTAAAAAAATATTTTTATAGCTGGACATGGCGGCGCATGCCTGTCGGCCCAGCTGCTCGGGAGGCTGAG